ATGATAACTGTAATGTTAAAATTGATACTGCAATTGATTTGTTACTTCCTAATAATTTTCACCACACTTCTCTACCTTTGGAGTTTACTTTTGTCGATTTTTGTCGCTTAGCTTAGAGTTGTTTTTAGTATGATTTTAAAAATGTCGATTAGGATGCAACAACTACTCATCAACAATATCAACTCAACGGATGTGGCTCAGGTGGCCGAAGATCGATTTATACATGTTGTAAATTTGTTTTTTAATTCCGTCATGAAGTGGAAAATTTCTTCAATAGAGTAATGTTTATTTTCTAAAAAGAATGCTGTGTAAAATGGCAGCACAAGCGTTTTAAAACAAAAAAGAAGACGAGAACTCTTTTTATAAACTGTGGCTTGTCATTGCTTTATTTTCTTTTGTTTGGTAGATTGTGCAAAATTAGATACCTAATTTTATGCAGGATGTGAAAATTACGCACCAGCAAATAATATATGCGCAAATAGCATAATTATACGCTGATTGGAAAACTGCTGTAGCGCCAATGTGTAGTCGGCATCAACAGCAACACCAGTATTGGCGCCAGCGCCAACCACTTTGATGTGTACGGAAAACTCCCAACGCTGGAGCACGTCGTAAAAACATTGGCTCTAACACAGTTTTATCATTACACACTTTACATTACACTCTTTCACACTATTTGTGTACCGTTATGTTTTCTGTTTAAACATTTAATTGAAAGCTACCCTTCCATCAATTTGGAATGGTAGCTTTATTACCCCTATTTGTAAGAAAGGATGCAGAGAAGATGTGAAAATTACCGACCTGTGGTTATGCTGTCTTCTATCCCTTGTTTGTGTTCCTTCTGTGGAAACCATTGAGTTTGTATTGTAATTTTCTCTTGATCAACCAACAAGATCGATTCAGGAGTGCAAAATCCACCTTGTCTAATTTAATCATATACCAACAGGACATTATTTCAGCTTTTGAGAAGAAGGTTCAGGTGGATGCCATATATACTGATTTTTCAAAGGCCTTTGATAGGGTCAATCATAATCTTTTACTTCATAAACTTTAGCTGCATTGTATGGACTTCTATCATCCTTACTTAAATGGGTTGTTAGTTATATGAGTAAACGGGTTCAATATATGAAGATAAAATATTTGTTTCATCTGATCTGATGAATTTAAGAAAGGTGGACGCACTGTCGTGTCTCCTCTTTAATACTGCCTTGGAAACGGCAATCAGACAGTTAAATATTAGAATGAATGGAACTATTTTTAATAGATCGATGCTGTTTGGGAAAGTATGTAATATTTTGTTTCATATTTTTACTTCTAATATTTTTCTGTTACGGTGCTGTAATGTGATCTAGTTTAATGGTGTATTCTAAAGACCTTTTTAAAATATATTGAGGAGACTAATCGTTCTGTAATTATCTAAATTTGCTTTGTCTCCTGCTTTATATAATCAAATGATAATAAAATCATGTATATTTATATACATGTAAATTAATAAAACAAATCAACATGTCGCTAATAACATTAGCAGTTTATGAGACAGAAATTATATCAGACATTATGTATGATATAGTGATTAGTGTTATAGGGTGAAACAATATATCAATTTAGATAACGCACATTAAGGAGTCATTACAATCTGTCATTATATGAATCTGATAACAGAATTAGTTTGTATACTGATATAATGAAAAGAACATAAACATTATAGAGGGTGACAAATTAGTTGTTAGAATTCTCTGCTACTCGATTGGAATTTGATTATTTTTGTACACTATTCAAATACTTAAGACCTTATATACCATAAACAATATGATTTTATCACTGGTAAGAAAAATTAATATGTAATAAGAGGTCTCCCAATAACAATGTTTTGATTTTTTTTTAAACGAAAACGGTGAAAATTGCTGTAAATCAAAAAAAAATATTCCAACATATAATAGATAACAATTATGTTCCGAATAACACATCATTCAAATGTCCACCGCGACTACGTTTGCAGGAGCGAATCCGATGAACCCAATTTTCGGTCACTTTATGCAAAATATCCGCATTAATCTCACGAATGGTGTGCTCTATGTTCCTCTTCAAGTCTTCAATAGATTGTGGTTTGTTCACATAGACCAATGACTTAACATAGCCCCATAAAAAATAATCCAACGGTGTTAAATCGCAGCTTCTTGGAGGCCAAGCATCTGGTCGAAGTTGCTGAATTCTCCTGGGATCTCTGGCATCAAGAGAAATCAATGTTTCCGGGAAACTTTTCCTTCAATAAATCAATGGTTGGGGCAGTAGTGTGACATGTGGCACCGTCCTGTTGGAAAAACATGCCATCCAAATCCATTTCATCCAACTGAGGCCACAAAAAATCCGTTATCATCGTTCGATACCTTTCACCGTTGACTGTTACACCATGTTCGAAAAAATAAGGTCCGATGATGCCACCATGCCATAAACCACACCAGACAGTGACTTTTTCTGGATGCAAAGGCTTCTCAAGAATCTCATGTGGATTATTTTCACTCCAAAAACGACAATTTTGCTTATTCACAAAGCCGTTTAACCAAAAATGAGCTTCATCGGAAAAGATTATTTTTTTGAAAAAATCGCCATCATTTTCGAGTTTGTCTAGAGCCCAATCAGCGAACAAACGACGCTTATGATGGTCAAGTGGCTTCAGTTCTTGAGTCAGAACAATCTTGTAAGGGTTGTAGGCACAGCCACCTTTACTTCCAAGCCAGGAAGTAGAAATTTGGCAACAACGCGTGGTAGTCCGACCGTGGTTTGTTTTGTTTAAGATTTCATATAGGAAGGCTTGTAAAGTTTGTTGAATTTAGTGTTTTTTTAACTTTATTCGAATGTTTTATTTGTAAATTGTGTTTAAATCAATTAGAAAATATTAATATAAGTGAAATTTCATTAAATTTAGAACTTATAGAAGATTCTTAACGACAATTTAAAAGGCAAGTATAAATATAACCTAGAAAACAAACTGAAAATAATAATACTTTTGCTTCTTGTTACAAAATATGTAAACTAAAAACAACAATAATAATACTTTTGTTTTTTGTTACAGATGGCCTGGCATTGTTGTGTACCTGGTAGCAAAACCAATTATGCCAGTACTTTAAAAACGAAACAGGCAGAAAGTACGTTTTCGTTTTCCAAAGATCCCCAAAGAAGGTATACTGGGTTATGCTCTATTCATAGAGAAGGCTATACAATTACCAAATCTTCCGTAGTATGTGCCAAACATTTTCATGAAGATGATATTCAGCGGACTGAACAATGAGAAGATAAAGATGGAAATGTACACATTGAAAAGTTAATATTTCCCAAATTAAAAGGCAATGCAGTTCCTAATATATTTCCTGAAGTACCATCATATGTAACTGTTCATCGTACTAAAGAAAGAAGGAATCCCGAAGACAGAAGAAACTTTTTGCATAAGAAGAGGGAACAAGAGATAACATAATTATGACAATTAGACTTAGACAATAATATCCCATTGAAAAACTGGACAAGTAAAATTACAAGTGACTGTGTATATTTCTATGTATTAAACATTAATCAGTTGGGACACAAGTGTGATAATATTTGTGTAATACGTAGTGTAATAGTTAGCAGTAATTTTAGTGTAATCGTCAATGTAGGTAAGAATAGATTAAGTAGTAATGATTTGAAATGGATTTTACAATATAGTAAATTAACAAGATGGTCACAATTAGAGAACTTACTTTCTCATTTAGATCTGCTTTTTAGATAAGTGATAACAAATTTGAGTATTATATTCAAAAATCTTTTGAGAATATAGGCTATTTTAAATCGATATACAAGTTATAAATGGTATGTTACATTCAACACATTTTTCATGTATACCTCTTTTAACTTGATCTACATATATGACAAAAAACCTATTCATATTTAAAATTGCTACTTTCGTATACCTAAGTATGAAAATTCAACAAAAGTTATAAGTAAATAGTAAAATATTTAATTTTCAATTAGATTAATTTAGAACCATATTTATATTGTGTCTGATTTCTTAGGATGAATTTTTTAATCATAATAGTTACACCAAGTTTTTACTTAACAACAATATTGTGTTATTTATATGCTCAAGTACTTAATATTTAAAATTTCTAGAGATTCTTGACTGCATTTGATTGTAAGATTAACTGTTTGACACTGTATTTTAAGTGCAATAAATTTTACTCTAGTGATTATTTTATTGATAATATAACCTAAATAATAATAAAACTTTATATATATTTATTAGATAAATATAAGGTTTTATTAATTTAATTTCCCTAAAAATATTTCTGTAATGAATTGAAGTTTTCAAAATATCAGTTTCCTAAAATTCAAATTAGTTCAAATTTTCTGGTAGACCTTACAGCTGATTATCAGACTACCGACGTCATAGAATGCGGTGTTGCCTTTTTTACTTCATGGCTTGGAAGTAAAGGTGGCTGTGGTGTAGGGCCTAAATCTTTTCTCAGAATTCGCCAAGTTGTAATTCTGGTGAGTCCAAGTTCTTAAGAACAACGATTTACGGACACATTTCAATTCTCTGCTACACTGGCTCTTACAGCAGCAATATTGTCCTAAGTTCTTACATTTCGGCGTCCCTAGTTGATGGTTTCGTATCGTGTAAAGTAAATTCACGTTCAAACTTTTCCACGATCGACGAATTACACGCACATCAGGACGATAATTTGGTCCATAGCTTTCACGTAATGCACGATAGGTATTCACAAAGAACGTATTAGCATAAAATTTTAAAATAATTTCCAAATGTTGTTCAAGCGTATATCTTGCAATGGTAATTTTCTTAGAGTTATACTTAAATACAAACGACAACAAGTGACAGATCTACCATTTTCAAATTGACCGCTATGACATTTCAAAACAGACGTCTATTGGGAAACCCTATATATATTTTAGGTCACGACGTCATTTAAGTCGATTTAAATTTGTATGTTTAATATAAAAACACTTACCCAGAATATAGTGAAATAAATCCCTCCTGTTTGGCTATCTTCAGAAAACAATCGACCATACCCCTGTATTTGAGACTAGCATGGTTTTTGTCACACTTCTGTCCTTGGATCTGCAATCTAGTTTTGGTTGTATCAATGGGGAAGGTACCTGTAAACAATAAACTAATAGTCACCTAAAGAAATAAAAGTATATTAGTGAAGAGTATACAAAATAACAACATTACTGTAGGTACATCCTCCCGATTTAGTCAAGTAGTCAGAGAGTGGACTCCTAAAAAACATAGGAACAAGCTGAATTTTACAGAGAATATTAATTTTGGGACCCCAAAAAGATGCAAAAAAGTTTACCACTTTTACCCCGGGCTTTCCCCTAAAATCCCCCCTCGCAGGTAGGTAAAAACACAAAAAATTGATTTACCAAGAAGGCAAACAGTTCAGTTTTCGTATGCAGTTTTTGTATTTTGCCGAGGATTAACTCAAATCAACTGCGATTTTTGTCATTTTTTACGTTTCTTGTGAGATCAATAAAATTGACCACTTTCTTTGACCAGTTGTAGTAAAATTTCCCTTTTTAGATCAATCTTTAAAACCTGTGACATAAATTTCAATTTTGAGTTGTGGTAACAAGTAGAAGCCATTTGAAATACGAATAAAAAACGCAGAATTTAATGTTCTACATTACAAACAATCACACAAACCAAAAAACCGTTTTGAGTGTAGTTGTGTAGTACCTAAGTGTACTGTAATTTCTTAGTTATTTGTTAAGAAACTCTTCCACCTAATAATATGGTCTTTCAGATAGACAGGCTTTTGTCAATTTACGGAACTTAAGGAAATAAGTTGTAGATTTAAGTTGCAAAGGGAGATGGTTGTATAATTTTTTTGCCGAATATAACATAGATTTCTTTCCAAAGCACGTGGTGTTCGTGTGTATCAAGGTATAAAAAATGCTTATAACAAAAAATAAATAATATAATGTCGGAAAAATTTGAAGTCAGTGAAGGAATAAGGCAAGGAGATCCCCTATCATCGATACTATTCAGCTTGTGTTTGGAGAAGGTCATAAGAGATGCAAATGTCAACAGAGAGGGATTGTTATACCAAAGAAAGCACCAATGTCTAGCCTTTGCTGACGATGTAGTAATACTGGCACGAAGCAAATGGGAGCTACAAGAAGTAGTAAAGAGGCTAGATAGAGAGGCAAAGAAAATAGGCTTAGCCATCAACGAAAGTAAGACAAAATACATGGAATGGATAGATGACAGTGAACAAAAAGGAGGAAATCTAAAAATAGAAGTAGAGGGTGAAAAAGCATATATACTTGAAGCAGTGGAAAGATTTACATACCTGGGGTCGATGTTCACATGCAAACCAAATATTAGAGAGGAGCTACAATCAAAGAATAATGGCAGGAAACCGATGCGTGTACTCATTAAACAGGCTATTAAAAAGTAAACAGATATCTAGGAATGCCAAAATAAGGATTTACAAAACAGTTATACAACCAGTGGTAACCTACGCCAGTGAAGTGTGGACACTGAACAAAGGCGAAACAGGTATGCTCGAAATATGGGAAAGGAAGGTTTTGAGAAAGATATTTGGAGGCAAGATAGTAGACAATACATGGAAAAGAAGAACAAATAAAGAATTAGAAGATATGTACAAGAATCCTAGTATAGTGGGAGTAGTAAAGGCTCAGAGACTCAGGTGGCTAGGGCACATAGAAAGAATGACAAATTCTCGAGTACCAAAAATGATTCTGATGCATACAATGGGTACAAAAAAAAGGAGAGGAAGGCCGAGAAGTAGATGGAAGCAAGAAGTAGAGAAAGACCTAGAAAACACTGGGAATAGAAAGATGGAAGGACAAGGCTACTAATAGGAAGAAATGGAAAACAATAACATCTCAAGCCATGGGCTACTAGTCTATATGCTATATATATACATATATAATATATATATATATATATATATATATATATATATATATATATATATATTAAAAGGACTTAAATTTCTGTCTTTTCTCAATGGATGGGCATGATCAACATATTTCCGGATATTGAATTCATTCCATCATCAGTTTAATAAAAAGTTGTATAAAAACATTGTTTGGCCACGAACAAACAATTAGCATTTTTTTTAATAAGCTTTCTTGTAACTTGATAAAAACAAGAAAAGACATAAGTCTGATTGAAGTTGCAAAGGTATATAGCTACTTGTATAATCTCCATTCATGTTTTAGTTCCAGTTTCACTTTTGCAATTTAATATAGATTTTTTTACTTACTCAGTGTACGGGATCAGTAAAATACACATCAATGCTTGAATTTATGGTGGAGTAGTAATGATTAGGTCTTGCTGGGAAAATATGTAGGTGTTTACGAATTAAGCAAACAGTTTCTAAAATATATAAAGAGGGAAGAGTTAAAATCCCGTGATTTTTGAAGTAGCTTCTGCGATGTATTTCTTCTGAGGCCAAATGGATACTGTTTGCACTCTACTGAGCAATTAAAAGATAATATCAGATTGGATGCTGTTTGAACTCAAAATAAGACAGACATATCGAAGATGAGACTCGAACAAAGAAAAATATGTTATTTTGGAAGATGCTAAATTGATTTCCTTCGAAACAGATCTTATTGCATAGCAGGCTGAGGCTAGTTTCTTACTTAACAAATCGATATGAAGGGACCATTTAAGGTTGCTGTCTATAAAAATACCAAGAAATTTTACAGAATCAACGATACTGATCTGGCTGTTATTAAGAAGCAAGGGTTGAAGAGCTCCTTTAGATAATGCTACTGTCTTATCCACGTTAAAAGAGAGTAAATTAGAGTCGGACCAGGTTTTTATTTTAAGTAGATCAGAAGTTATAATTGCATGAAGAGTTGCAATATTAGAGTTCCTCCAGGTAATACTGGTATCATCAGCAAAAAGAAAAATTTTCCATCGATTTTTAAGTTAGTGATGTCATTTATAAAGATAAGGAAAAGTAGAGGACCCAATACTGAACCTTGTGGTACTCCACATACAATGCTTTTGTGACTAGAGTCAGTATCATTTGCTCTAACTAGTTGTTTCCTATTCCTCAAGTAAGATTGGAACCAATTCAAAGAAATACCTCGAATTCCGTAGAAATTTAGTTTTTTTATCAAAATGTCGTGATTTACACAATCAAAGCTTTGGCATAGTCACAAAAACAGCAGTGAAAGATTATTGTTTAGTGCTTGATAGACCCCATAAGTCGGCTTTTATAAGTCTCTCAATAATTTTGGATAGGACCAGTAGTAAGGCAATAGGTCTATAGTTGCAGACATTCGATTTTTCACCACCCTTATGAAGAGGAATAATAATGGCTGTCTTTAGGCACTCTGGAAATATACCTTTTTCAAAGGAATCGTTAATTAGTGAGACCAGGACTTCCAACACATTTTTTGGAGATTTAAGAAAATTTTTATGGATAGTCCATCAGTACTACAGAAAGATTTGCTTTGATACTACTGATTGTTTGGATCAGTTCAGATTTATCAACTGGTCTTATAAAGAATGAATTCGAGACCTTTTTTGAATTGGGAGATAGGAAATAGGATCTTGTTGTGGCAAAATAGTTGATGTTATATTTTTACTCACATTAACGAAGTATTCATTTAGATTTTCAGGGTTTGGAAGAGAAAATGTTTGAGCTGTGTTAGTTTTATTTCGAAGATCGTTTATTATGGACCAAGTTTCTCTTGCAACATTTAGCTGTTTTGATAAGTTTTAGATAGGTTCCTCTGTACTTGGAGATATATTCAGTGACAAAGATGTTGGTAGTAAATTTAAAATCCATTTTTGAATGAGAATGAATAAGTAGTTCATTCATAATTTTAAAGTTTCCCTTTTGTCAACATAAAAGCGAAAAATAAACACAGATTATGAAGAATATAGGGGTTGAATAGCATCTGTATTAATTGATAATACTGTCCTCCAAGTAAAAACCTTATAGGAATATTGAAAAATGTAAACATTCCATTAAACAAGCATAAGCCCATTATAAAAATAAAAAATAACAACATACCTATAGAAATAACGAGTAACTTTAATGAAATAATAAATATTCAACAATAATCATTTTGTTTTGATTTTTCCCAAATGTTCTGTTTACTTCATACATAATTTTTTGGCTTCAGTAACTTGTCATAACAACTATGTTATTTTTATTACTACCTTTTGGGAAAATCTAAATTAGTTACTGTAATGTGCTTGTTTTTCATGTATCATCACCTGTCAGTCTAAAATATGTATTTTTCAAGTGGTTTATATAAGATGTCTAATAGAGCATATCGACCCACAGTTTTTAATTATAAACACAGTTATTTTCAGAAATTCAAGCATACAAAAAATGATACTGTATTTTTAATGAAGTTATATATGCATAAAAATCTTTTCTTCCAACCTGTTATGTTAAATTAATGAAAACATAAAGTAAACAGGAAATGTTTATTTTTATGTTATCAATACACACTTTTAGATTAATTTCTGCCTACAATACTGGGAAATAAGCAAAATTTGATAACACCTCAAAAGGCCTCTCAGTTTTTACTGCCCATATTCAGAGTTGTTGAAATTAGCAAGAATTTTAACTGAAAATACATTATAAGACGTTTAAATTTTCATTTTTGAAGTGGATAATAGAAATACCACAAGAAAATAGTTTCAGAGCACTTTATTACTTGTTCCATACAGATAAATGGATGTTGATGAAAGTATAGTACTTTTTGCATAGAAATAAATGAATGTACCTACTGTGTAAGTCAAAGTCAAGCATACATATCATCCCTACCATTTCCAATTATCAAATGTGAAAAGTGGTACTTTTCAGGAGAGCAAGATAACTCTTTTTTGAGAATCCTAAATCAGCGTCTTGACAAATGGAAAAATATTTATATTTTTTATATTTAAGGTTTAATCCTTGTTAGATTGATAAAAAAATTAAACTGTTTATTGTTTTTTCTTTGCAAAAAATCACATTCTATACTTTGCTTTTTGTGTTAATCAACGATTTGTTTTAGTACAATGTCTCAAAATTGAGAATGTGGCATTTTCATCAGTTTATATTGGTATAATTTTAACACATTCATTTGGTACAGTGTTTCAAAATTAAGAATGTGGCATTTTCGACAGTTCATATTGGTCTAATGTTAACACATTTATATTCTTAATTGAAAAGGAAAATTAAAATAATTTTAATGTTCTTACAAAGTTTATTACAAATAATTTAATTAAAAATTAAAGTTGTAGGATAAAATGGGTAAAAATTATGTTTAAAAAAATTATTAAAAGTATTTTTATGAAAGTATGTATTGCTAGAAAATTAATGAAATTAGAAACATAAAAATCATTAATTATGGAACTTCACGTACTGTAGGTACCTCAAGTACTCAGTCATGACCCTCAATTGTTGTAAAATAATGGTAAATTAAAAGTTTTTTCAATTTTGAATTAAATGTTATCATTGTCAGTTCAAACGGGCATGGCTTAGTGTGTGAAAGTCTTATGATTTGTGCCCATCCTTCAAAGGGTGTATACGGAGTAATTTTTTAGTTAGATTCAATTTTTGAATGGACAGAATCGCATTTCATTTCTGAGTGACCCGGTACAAAAAACACATGGTCAATTGTTTTTAAATTTGGGTGACAATTAACAACATATTGACACATGGCAGAAAAAGCACAGTTTTACTGTTGTCCTCCCAATTGCCGGACATCACTTTTGACATTTTGCAATATCATGGTAAGACATGATGTATTTAAATATATATGTAACAATTTCAGTACCACCGCATTTTCTCTAGGTTTCATCCTATATGAAACACTGGTGGCTCCCTTCTCTTAAATAATAAGTGACAAATTATAAAAAGTTTTCTCACATAAACACAACGTCCTGCAGCTCCTTTAGGCGTTGACAAAACAAATTGAAGATCGAAATTAGCTGCTAATATTTTCCTATTCTCCAAAGCTGACTGTTTATCTTCATCCTATTTTTTTTTCGCAGTATCTTTTCTTTCAAGGTGTTTGTGATGGATTCTATATTTGTTGACAAACTGTTTTTATCACAGTGACATTCAAATATTTTTACAACTATAATCCATCTTCAATTCTTCAATGTTATCTCTCAGGGTTTTGGAAACTATTTGTAAAAAGATTTGAGTCAGTCATAAAAATTATGTCTATATAAAACTAGGGACACAAGCGTGTCCCTAGTTTTACCCACCTCATCCAACTTGATAAATGAATTTCCTTTTAATTTGGTAATGTACTTTTGTATAGGTTACTGGTTAAAAATGACTATTGTGGACCTTTGAAAACTCTAACAATAAATGATGTAAAAATATTAAAATTACTTACCAAACTCAGCGACGCACGATGCAATGCCCCCGTAGACAAAAGGTCTCCAGTCCCTTTGTCCCATTCCACTATTACTGTTTCTTGATGAAGAAATAAGTGTAGTGAAAAATGTAAAACGCCCCCGTAAATACTCTGTTTATCTCTAAGTTTGGTCAACACAGTCGTACTCCAATGCAGCAGATTGTAGCATTAGCGGCTCAAAACGAAGTATAAGATGTGCCGTCGGTAAAATTATCACAATATTTAATAAATAATGTAGTATCACTGCGTCAAAACATGTATAAAGGAAGCTGGGCTGTTTATGTTGTATCAGCTAAACTTCTGGGATTCGAGGGACAACTAGCCTGCAGCAGATCTATTTTAAGACTCTAACGTTAACTTCTAACCTAACTTTATTACTGCACAACGTAGTTACTTATTATCATCCATGTAGTTTACAGCCAATCAAAAAATTCAAAACAGCTTTTTTACTGATTGAAGGTCGACCGCTCAAAATAATTTATTGGCGAAAAATAGTTTAAAACGCAGTTTTTCCAACATTATGATTGAACTAAATATTCGCGAATCCCGGGAAACCGATCCGCCGGCGCCGATCAACCAAATTAGATAAATGTAGAGAGGGGAAAACTGGTGCCCCAGTAACCTCAGTATTAGGGAACAGCTCCATAAAAGTTTATATAATGCAAGATGAAAACTTAATGAATAGTAAAAAAAATTATTTTGTTATTTACAATACAATTACATGATATTTATTTTTTAAATTTACACTAGTGTACTTTCAATGAACGTACTTATCTGTAACTGTTATTTTAAAGATGAGTCTCTATACACAAAATCGATTAGGCTTCTCGTTTCTCGATTTATTATGTTGTGTTCTGTGTTTGTGTTGGTATTGACGTATTGATCATATACATATTGAGCACAGTATATACCATAAATAGTGGTGTAAATGAAATAGGACAAGTGAAGAGAGTGAATTGCATGGGACCAGCCGTTAGTTCAGGTTAGGTTACGTTAGGTCATAGGTGGAGGTGGAGGCCAGTGGAGGCACAGAATAATCAACAATCAGAATGCCCACTCTCCATGGAAAATTAAGTACGCGCAATTAACCCGGTTTAATTGACTTAAGGCAATCATAGATATACTATACAATTATATTAACATTGTTAAATATAATAACATAAATATAATAGAATTAAACATAATATGTATAAACAATTACATAACCTCACAAATCATATGTCTGTGTTATGTGTTTCCTTCTAAAAACATGGCGGCGCGTGCTGAAAAACTTCAAAGGCGGCATCTGAGAGTGAACATTCTGATTGTTTATTATTCTGTGGTGGAGGCACAGAATAATAAACAAACAGAATGCCCACTCTCCACGGAAAATTAAGTACGCGCATCTCCTTCGCGCAGACGTTCCGCCATGTTTTTACGAGGATTTTAAAGGGAACCAGTGTTGTTTATGTGGTGTGCATGGAAAAAAACAGGTTTATTTGACTTACGGCAATCATAGACATACTATACAATTATATTAACAGTTTTAAATATAATAACATAAATATAATATAATTAAACATAAATGTAAACAATTGCATAACCTCACAAATCATATGTTTGTGTCCTCCTAACACATGGCGCGCGTGCTGAAAAACTTCAAAGGCGGCATCTGAGAGTGGCCCTTCTGATTGGTTTATTATTCTGTGGTGGAGGTATGACCACAGTATAAATAACTGTGGTATGACATAGCAAGAGGCGTTATGACCACAGAATACACGGGTGGTGTATTCTGTGGTATGACGTTGATGTAATTAGTGTTGCCAGTTTCACTAGTTATGCATATTTCATATTTACTCAAATAATGATTATACCACAGAATAATAAAGTATATAACAATGTGTTAAGTGTTTACTATATTTTTGGACAGATAAAATATATTTTTTGGCATAGAATAAGTTTTTATTTCTTATTTTATGAATATATTTATTTTCCATTAAAAGAATACTTTTTGAATTTTGCGGTCTAAAATTCAAAGCATATTTTTTTAATTTGCCGCCTAAAATTCAAATTTTTATACAAACTTAAATTAGTTTCGGCCCGTCCGCACTTAGCGCTAGAAACTTTCTCTCAAATCTTTCTATGGGACTTACCGTACTAGAGGGCTATGTACTGTGATATTGAGGTCATTTTTTTAACTGATTTATTTTATTTTTAAATGTATGTGAATTTTATATTTATTTTTCAGCACAGTTAATCAAATATTATGGGGAAGTAGGTATCCTTTTTAAAATAAATGCACAATAAGAAATATAACTTTGGTAGGTATCTTTATTTAGAGGTTATATTTTCTTAATTTTATCTAGACATTCAGAATGGAGAAAATTAGCTAAAAAGGCAAGAAGAAAGCGTCTTAGACAGCAGAGAGCTCAGATAAGAGACCAAAATGAGCTGGAAGGTAAATATTGATTTAAAAATATATTGTTTTTTCTTTAAACTTTATTTTAGAGATCCAAAGACTACAACAGTCATCCTCTTATCAGAAGTTGTTGGCTGATAAAAGAATTTATGAAGAACGACAAGCGCTCGAAGAGGCCCGGCTCCGGGAACAAAAGGAACGAGAGTGGTTAAAAGTTGAAGAAGAAGCTCAGAAACAATTTCAGGTACTTACATTTCTATTTTAAATTAATTTAAAATCCCAATGATTGTAGATTGTCTTTTAGATTACTTTTTGACTAGCTCTGACTAGTATTGTCCAGTTTTCATTAGATTTGCCTTTAATATTATTTTTTCTATGTATTTATCATAGGAACTGCAGAAAAAATTGGCACTAGCCAGGGAAGAGAGAGCTAAACAAAATGAAGCAATAAAGTTGGAATGGGAAGAGGAACAAAAGAGGAGAGTAGAACAAAAGAGAAGGCAAGAAGAAGAGTTGCAGAAGCAAATTGATGAACAACAGAGATTGAATGCTTTAGTAGAGGACTTCTTAGGTATTTTTAATATTTTCTAGACATCCTGTACAAGTTAGTAATCCCCTTTCTCTGGTTTTTAGAAGAAGGTGGGGATACTCCAAAACATCTGAAGACTACCTCAGAAACAAACCCAAATAAACAGCCTTGTCCATTCTTTCAAAAAACATCAACATGTAGATTTTTTGATGTTTGTTCTAGAAATCATGTTCGTCCTGGTATTAGTAAAATTCTTCTGATTCCCAACTTTTTTTCACATTACAGCCTGGAGAAGACTGAGAGTGACCGCTTTACTGACTCCAGTTTGGAATTTGAAAGCCATGAAACAAATGCATGCTATAGGTACATAACAATGGTCAAGTATCAGCAGATTTTATTTTACTTCTATTTCTGTTTTAGGGAATTCTTTCATGATGTTGTTCCTGAATTAGAAAAATATGGAAAGATTCAACTTTTTATCACATGCTGCAACCATGAGGCACATCTAAGAGGTAATGTTTTTGTTGAATTTTGCATCTACAAGAAGTGCTTTGAAATGTTATAGAGCTCTGAATGGTAGATGGTATGGAGGAAAGCAGTTAAGTGTGCAATTTGCAAATATACCCAGTTGGAAATCTGCTGTTTGTGGTAAGATATATGTGTTCCATTATTCTATTCACTCTCACACTCTTCTTTTTAGTGCAACTACTCTCACATCATCATCATCATCAGTGGTGCTACAGCTCTAGTTGAGCCTTGACCTTCCCCAGTCTATTTCGCCAGTCGTTTCTGTTCATCGCCAACCGTTGCCAATTTGCCGCGCCGATTTTCCTTGCGTCCTCGTCCACACCGTCCCTCCATCTCAGTCGTGGTCTGCCTCTACTCCTATTTCCCACTGGGACCGATAATAGAGTTCGTCTGGGTGGGTAATTTTCATTTGCTCTTGACACATGTCCAGCCCATCTAAGCCTACCTATTTTTATGAAGGATATTACATCTCTACCATTTACTATTTTTTTATACTTCTCGTACAATTCGAAATTATATCGCCTTCTCCAAATACCATTCTCACAGAATGCGCCCATTATTCTTCTTAGTATCTTCCTTTCGAAGACGAGCAGAAGATTTGCGTCTGTTTTGGAGATGGTCCATGTTTCTGACCCATATGTCAGCACTGGTAGGATGAGTGTTCGATATATTATTAGTTTGGTTTTCTGGCTTAAATTTCTGTTTTTTAGCTGCTTGCTTAGTCCAAAATAACATTTGTTTGCTAGCAGTACCCTCCGTTTAACTTCTTCAGATGTGTCATTATCGTTTGTTATGAGAGAACCCAAATATGTAAACTTATTTACTACCTCAAAATTATATTGGTCTATACTGAAGTTTTGTTCGGCGTTTCTAGCTCTATCTCTGTTATTTGGAATAGATGCTAACATTTTGGTTTTTTCCTCGTTTATTTTAAGGCCCATATTTTGTGCGGCTGTCAAGAAGGTGGAAGTCATCTCTTTAAGTCCTCGTGTAGTACGTGCAATCAAATCCAGATCGTCAGCGTAAGCCATAATCTGCGTTGATTTATTAAAGATTGTTCCCCTATTGTGTAACTCGGCATCTCTTATAGTCTTTTCTAACGCTATATTAAAGAGAAGGCACGCCAGCGCGTCTCCCTGCCGTAACCCTGCATATGTTTCAAACGCTTGTGACATATCGCCTTGTATTTGCACTCTGCAGATCACTTTACTCATAGTTGTTTTTACGAGCCTTATTAATTTATGGGGAATGTTAAGTTCATTCATGGCTTCGTATAATTTACCTCTTAGGACGCTATCATACGCTGACTTAAAGTCCACAAAGAGATGGAACGTGTCAATATTAAATTCATTGGTTTTTTCTAAGATTTGACGTAGCACAAAAATCTGGTCGATTGTTGACCTACCTGGCCTAAAACCGCTTTGATACTCACCAAGGATTTCTTCCACGTACGTACTTAAACGGCTGTACAGGGTATTGGAGAATATTTTGTACATTGTATTCAGAAGAGTTATACCCCTATAATTTTTACATTCCAACAAATCTCCCTTTTTGTGTAGTGGACATATGATTCCAGTGCACCATTCCTCTGGCATTTGTTCTTCTTCCCAGACTTTGACTATTATGTTGTGAATTTGGTGCATAATGCTGTTACCTCCATGTTTGATGAGCTCTGCGGGATACAATCCACTCCTGGGGACTTGCTATTTTTGAGTCGTGTGATTGCGTCTTTCACTTCAAATGTTGAAGGAGGTTCTACGTGAGTGTTATTTCTTGGTCTTTGGGGTGACGCATCATTTTCCACTTCGGTACCAAGTAGTTCTTTGAAGTGCTCAACCCATCTGCTTTGTACTGCGTCAGCGGTACTGACTATATGTCCATTTTTGTCTCTACACATCGTCAGCCGTGGTTTAAATTCTTTTCTTGTCTTATTTAGGATATTATAGAACTTTCTAGTTTCATTTTGCCCCTTTAATGATTGAAGCTCTTGCATAATCTGGTTTTCGAAGGTCCGCTTTTTCCTTCGATGTATGCGTTTTTCCTCCTTCCTAAGATCTTTGTACATTTGCTCCTTATCCCGTGTTCTTCTTTGTTGCATAAGTTATATGTATTATTCTTTCTTTTAGTGATATCTTCACATTCATCGTCGAACCAACTGTTGCGTGGAGTGGATTCTTCTGGTCCTAGGACGTTGTTTGCCGCTTCCTTAATTGTTCTTCTACATATATCCCATTGCTCGCTAGCTGTTAAATTCTCATCTGTTGTGCTTTCATGTTCAAGGTAATTTTGATACCTTTCTAGTGCACGGGGCTCTTTCAAGAGTTTTAAATTGTAGCGAGTACTTTTTCTTACCCTTTTCTTTTTTTGCATTTGAGATTCTTGCTCTTATTTTTGCGCCTACTAAGAAGTGGTCTGAATCTATATTAGCTCCACGATAAGTACGTACATCAATTAGATTAGAGAAGTGCCTGGTTTCTATTAGGATTACTTAGGACTACTCTCACATACTCAATATTAATAATTTGTCTGGTCAGCTAGAACAAATGTTTATTTTTGCATTTTTTTTTCTTGTTTATAGATTAGATTTACAATACAATACATGGAAAGTTTTTACTCATAATTAATGAGTATACACTTCCAACTCATAATTATGCTTCCTTTTTTAATGAAAGAGTAAGTTTATTTAAGCTATTAATAGTGAGGGATAGGAATTTTTTTGAATCAACTATAGATACTTGGTACCTTTTAACTCAGAGTACAGGCACAGTATAGTGCTTTAAAAGAATCAGTAGCTTCACTCTCGCATTTTCACGGTTCCAATTTGGAATCCACTCCTAGGACCCCGCCACACCGTGCGCAATGGATTTGGCGAAAAATGCCGCTGTTGCAAGATTTAAAATATTCTATCAGTTTCAAAGAATATTCCAAATTTATAATAAAATAATTATTATAGAAGTTCTTCAAAAAGAGGAAAATAAATTTCATAAATGGTAAAATTCTTCACATACCCACTATACACACTTCTAAAGTTGAAAAATCATATTGCCTAATTGACTTAATCTATTCTCAAATAATTAATCATAAGTATCTATCCATTGATTGATTACATTTGGCAACATTGATTTTACCCAACCACGTGTTTGTGTTTATGCTGTGAAACTACAGTTATTTCAGTAATTTATATATAAATTTCATTTATTTGTTGTTATATAGTTGGTTTTATAAGTTTATTTCGTATTTAATACATATTACTGTGATATTTCTCCAGTTTTCTAAGTGGTTTTATTATTTTAAACAACGGATTATGATATGAAACTATATAACAGGCCTCCTAAAATCCAGCTTTGGTTTGATTCTTCATGCTTTAGTATTAAAAACAAAACTTAAATTTTAAACTTAAAAAACTTAAGCTATGTAAAAAACATAACTTTCTTGAACCTTTTAAAACAGAATATTAAATAGCTGAGAAGATTTATATTGCATGTTAGGATTCGATCAATTAATTTTGTACTCAGCCTGAGGCCTTCTTTAAGTCAATAAATCAAAATTTGTCTTTAAGGAAATCTATTTTTATATATCATAGTGTATATCATATCATATCTTGTATGTCGCTATATGTTCATTAATATTGAAAATACTGCGTAGTGGCCTTGTTAATTTTTTCTATCTGAATATATTCGTTATATCCTCCCCTTTCATTTGCCATGTCGCATGTTAGGATTCAATCAGTTGTTTATTTTGTACTGAACCTGAGGCCTTCTTTAAGTCAAAAAATCAAAATTTGTCTTATGGTAAATCTATTTTTATTCATAGTACCCTATCATATCTCGTATGTCGCTATATGTTCATTAATATTGAAGATACTGTGTAGTGCCCTTTTCGTAGTCGCCTTGTTTATTTTTTCTATCTGAATATATTCGTTATATCCTCCCCTTTCATTTGCTATGTCGCATGTTAGGATTCAATCAGTTGTTTATTTTGTACTCAGCCTGAGGCCTTCTTTAAGTCAATAAATCAAAATTTGTCTTATGGTAAATCTATTTTTATTCATAGTACCCTATGATATCTCGTATGTCGCTATACGTTCATTAATATTGAAGATACTGTGTAGTGCCCTTTTGGTAGTCGCCTTGTTTGTTTTTTCTATCTGAATATATTCGTTATATCTCTCCCTTTCATTTGCTATGTCGCATGTTAGGATTCATCAGTTGTTTATTTTGTACTCGCCTGAGGCTTTCTGTAAGTCAATAAATTCAAAATTTGTCTAATGGTAAATCTATTTTTATCCATAGTGCCCTATGATATCTCGTATGTTGCTATACGTTCATTAATAATGAAAATACTGGTAGTGCTATTTTAATAGTTTGCCTTGTTTCGTTTTTTTCATGTCCATGTTAGGATTCGATTAGTTTTTTATTTTGTACTACAGCCATAGGCCTTTCTTTAAGTCAAATAAATCAAATTTGTCTTATGGTAAATCTATTTTTATTCATAGTGCCCTATGATATCTCGTATGTTGCTATACGTTCATTAATAATGAAGATACTGTGTAGTGCCCTTTTGGTAGTCGCCTTGTTTATTTTTTCTATCTGAATATATTCGTTATATCCTCTCCTTTCATTTGCTATGTCGCATGTTAGGATTCAATCAGTTGTTTATTTTGTACTGAACCTGAGGCCTTCTTAAGTCAAAAAATCAAAATTTGTCTTATGGTAAATCTATTTTTATTCATAGTACCCTATCATATCTCGTATGTTCGTTATACTTTCATTAATATTGAAGATACTGCGTAGTGCCCTTTTCGTAGTCGCCTTGTTTATTTTTTCTATCTGAATATATTCGTTATATCCTCCCCTTTCATTTGCTATGTCGCATGTTAGGATTCAATCAGTTGTTTATTTTGTACTGAACCTGAGGCCTTCTTTAAGTCAAAAAATCAAAATTTGTCTTATGGTAAATCTATTTTTATTCATAGTACCCTATCATATCTCGTATGTCGCTATATGTTCATTAATATTGAAGATACTGTGTAGTGCCCTTTCATTTAACGTATCACACGCTCCAATGCCGAAATGTGATTTTTTTCTGTCTCAACAGCATTTTTACAGCTTTTACTTAATTATATTTAATTTTGGTAGATGTTGGTAGTTCAGATTTCTTTCCTAGGTGGCGTAGTTACCTTACTGAACAAACAGTGTGACTTGTCATCCTAGCCTTTTATATAAATAGATTCTCCCAATTTTAAATGTACGTAAAAATATGAGCTTGACTAACTACGTTATGAACGTAGTGATCCTACAGTGGGATCTTTATGCTATATGACATTTTTTCAGTTCATTATTTTGTTATTAATAAGTTGTAATTGTGAAAATATATATATTCTATTCTAACTTGTATTCATAGTTCGCTACTTGTGTTTTTTATAATCCTATTTTTATTATAACTGGTATTGTAAAATTCAAATCCTGAAAATATAATTTATAATTCGATTGTATTATTATTTTTTCATCTATAGAAATTAGTTTCCTCATTAGCTCTTCGTTTTATGAGATTTCTCACCAGTAACAGTGAATACAGCGTGATTTTCTAATGAATACAAAAAATTTAATATTCGATTAATCAAAACTGATGGATTCAACATAAAACATTTTGAAGGACAAACAGTAATAATTATTTGGAAACTATTGATAATTGTCGAAAACGCTAAATTTAGGAAAGTATTCATTATTCCGAAAATCTAATTAAATTTTAGGTCGCCACAAGTCACACTTTTCCTATTTATTTTCGAGCAGTGTATTAAAAATTATATTGAGCAGTGTATCAAAAACTGGAATTTATCTGCGCGAGGAGCATGTGCGCGTGAAAAAAATGGAACATGAAGAACAAAGGATTGGCGGTAGAGTGAACCTACTGATTCTTTTTAAAGCACTATACTGTGGTACAGGTCCACTATGTGCCCCTAAGACATAATATAATTTGATTAGAGTTTGATATTTATAGCAACTAGCTTATATATAAATAAATTACTATTTTCTCATTATAAATATGCTTTTTAGGTGTCCATTTTATAAACAGTTGCCCTAAAGGTTCTAACTGCAATTTCATCCATGCCTTTCGCAATCCAGGACATACTTATGGGGCTTTGAAAAGAATCAAAACAGAACAAAGGACAAACCAAAGGTAAAATAAATGACATAAACATTAAAAATTGAGTTATCCTAATCACATAGTAGACTTCATTGTTATTTAAATTATGCAAAAATGATTTAAGCCACATCAGTATTTAAATGAGTAACACAGTTTAAATTCTAACCCACAATTTTTGAATATTTAAATTCCAATTATGCAAAAAACATTTAACCCTCAATTCAAGCTCATGCACAGTCAGCTATTTTAAGTTTATTTTGCAATAAACACTCAATCCTGTATCAACTCACATTGTTGTCATAAGACCCCTTTCAGTCGAGGATACTGTATGTGAGATACTGTATGCGAGATACAGAATTTGTGTCTGAAAGCGTTCATTTAACGTAATGTTTCTTCTGTATCTGGCATACGCATTCGGTATCTCGCATACTGTATCCGTCGCGCGTCCCGTGTGAAAAGCTCCATTTGAGTCTATGCAATATCTGCGTCTCGGATACGCGTATCTCGGATACAGTATCCTCGTCTGAAAGGCGTCTAACAGTTAAACAGCAGATTAGAGAATCATAGTTAGCTTCTATCATTTGGTTAATACTTTTATATTAAACTTGATATATTAAAAACATCCTAAATCAGGAAATTGGTAAAACCTTCCTAATAATGAAAAATCAACATTTTGTTTACTGTATTTTAAAGTGAACATAAAGCTGGCAGAGAATGCAAGAGGTGGGATTCTGTTTAAGGAAGTACATAAAAGATCATATTAATCCACCTGTAAAAACTTGATTCTGTGATAAGACTGTTCATCCATATCTCGATTCTATCACTTGACAATTCTTACTACCAGGAGATACCTTCTGCCCAATAATTTAGAATTTGGAGTTGTTGAGTACTTTCTGAAGTTCCGATGGCTCATACACGGATGTAGACTACATTAAGGAACGAAATAGTGTAGAAGAAAAAACAAATTTGTTGTTAACAAAATAGAAAGAAGAGAAATGGTTTCAATTGACAACCTATTGGAATATATCACAGACAGGAAAGTTGACTTAGAGAATGAGAAAGTAAATTGGCTCGAGATTCATGAAATCAAAATTTTAAAAAGTGAGTCTTTCTTGCTCTACTTGAAACCAGACACAACAGAAGAAAACATACAGATAGTAGATATAAAATAATAACAGGTTGCAGAAATTGTTTAAAGATATGGAGTTGGATCAGCAATTATGCCCACGGTAAACTATTATCCAAAGAAAAAATTAAAGATCTCAAAGAAATATTAAAGTTAGTTCCACAAGATCTAAAACCATTTTATAATTTCCTAAAAATAGGGTGACTTTATTGATGGTTTTTGGGGTAGAAAATGGGGACTTAATGAACAGTATTAATGAACAGCTATTTGAAGCACTTCTAAATAATATTAAAATTTATAATTATGTAGTATCTAATATTTTGTCCTATATTTTGTATTAATAAATCATGTTTTAAAAAAAATTTATTAAAAATCCTTTGTAAAAGGTATATATTTAGACCCAAACGGGTTAAGTTAAAAAGACAAAACCTTTTCGGGATCCATATTCCATCATCAGTGTCTAAGAGTACATGAATGTAGCCACTAAATATGTGGGTAAAAACCCGTTAACAAATAATTAATTACATTTAGTTTACAAATTTTCTTATAATGGTTTAGGATGTTAAAGTTACCGTTGGATTAGGTAACATGGCGACATATATGGCATATATGGTATACAGCCAACTACAGGAACGTAGATTCCTTGTGGAGTTTAAAAAAAAATTCTTGTATACTTCTTGTAACCTAAAAAGCAAAAATAATCAATATTTACAGCAGAATATAGTAGCTATTTATCTCAAAATCAGACTTGTGTGGGTTGACTCTTTTTGCATAGCACCATCCCATTATGGTAATTTGGTAAGTAGTAGTTACAAAAAAGTCTGAAAAGTGCTGTATTTTCCTTTGAGTTATTCTCCAAATGACTTTAATGTGAATCTGCTATTATTTTACTTAATATATATTTGAATTCTGCCTTTCAATAAATAATAAGGGGCTGTTCAAGTATATGTAAGCAGATTTATTACAATTATTTACCTTCCCCCCCCCCCTCCATCCAACTCTGTTGCTATCAAAGTAAGGAATACTCTTACCTCCCTCCCATATTACATAAACATTGTTATATGGATTTTTCTTTTAATTTATCCTTTTTTTATTGATTCATGAGCAGCAGTTATCATTCTAGATATAAGAAAATAGATTTAAGATAGAGGACTTTAATGCATGGTATTCACCATAGAGTAAGGTGCAAATATTATAATCTTAAGTAATATTATGATCAAAACAAACTTCTATTACATTTTTGGTATACTTATTAATAGTTAGTCCAATTAATAGTTAGTCCATGACACCCGAATCCATGATTCTAAATTTTCCATGATATTAGATATTTAAATCTACAGTCTGCCTCTTAATAAGTACAAAAACATGAGCAGATGCCAGATAACTACTTGTTTCTTACAACAGGAGTGCCCAAGATTTCAATCTTGCACCAATACTTTTATTTCTAAATATATAAATCTTTATTATTATTTTTTTATTTTAGAAGTCATTCTGAAGCCAGAAACTGGAGATGGTCAGAATCACCTGAGCACGAACCAAAGAAAAGTGACTGGGATACAGATTCCTATACTAGTTCTAGTCGAAAAGATAGACAGTCAACCAGAAATGGATTTAGAAAGAGACGAAGATCAAGATCACGTTCAAAAGACAAAGACAGACGGCATAGTTCCAGTAGACGTAGAAAACGGGATTCTTCAAGTAGATCTAGCAGTAGATCATCAAAATACAGAAGTTGAAAGGTGTAGATATATAAGAATTTTATAGATTTATGAATAAATATATATTTAAGCATAATTTAGTTTTATTGATCTAATCAACAAAATAAGTTTTACTGATCATTTTTTTTTAATAATTCAATAGTAAATAGGGTATTTTCACCATAGTATCATTTTCACCAGTTCTGAAAGGAATTACTTAACCTCTGATATTTTTTGGCACTTCTGCAAAGTAGTTAGACCACAAACAGTTTTTTTAATAATTACTGATAAGCAACCAATTAAACACTGACTGGCAAAAATGTGGCCACCCTATAAATTTCCGAAAATTAAAATTCATTGGAAGTTTTATGTACTGTTTCATATTGTATACTCAACATCTTTTATTTTTAAAACAAAAAATGGCCATTACTGCTTGATTCCTTAGCATAATTTATTTAATTAGAAGGCTTCAAAAGAAAATAGTTACGAGTGAACTTGAACAAAATTGTCTAATATCGGGTATAATGCAATAACCGTTTGCAAATGATTTGGAAGGAAACAAATTTTAAAAACTTGAGGAATATGTTCATATTCTTCACGAAGCATGTTTTGAAGTTCTGCAAGACTTTCTAGCTGGCCTGGTTGACTTCTAACCCTACGATGAAGTTCATCACACAAATGTTCGATGATATTCAGATCAGGGCTGCAGGCTGGTCATTCTAGAGTATTAATTCCTACTTCCCCCAAGTAATTTGTCACGATTCTTGCAGTATGTGGCCGTGCATTATCATGCATAAAGACGAAATTGTCCCTAGTAAATGGAACTACTGCTTCTGTCAAAACATCCTCTATATACCGGTGAGTATTCAGGGGGCCATTGATGAAAATAAGTTCAGTTCAAGCTTCAAATGAGATTCCAGCCAAACCATAAACCACCACCGCCAAACTTTCTTCTCTGGGGCATACAAGCTTGGGCATATCTTTCATTTCTCCAAACCCTCTCTCGTCAATCGCCAGACTTCAAACAGAACCGCGAATCATCAGTAAAGAGAATTCGGCTACAATTCTGTATTAGAGACCGACCGAATGTGATTTTTTTGGCCGAAGTTCGGCCTGTAGGATACCTTCGGCCGAAGCCAAACGTGACTAAAAATATACCTATTATATGTTAATAATTTAAATAATGTGCATTATATTTTTATTAACTGATAAGTGATAAACAAAAATATGAAATTATGAGATAAAAAGTTCAAACATTTATACATTATTTGGTAATAGAAGCGATAATAAAAATAAATAACATTAAAAAACATTAAAGCAAGTGAGTATTACTGATTACTGGATCTGGTAGCTAATATTAGAAATCAAACATCCTAATATTATACGTAAGAAAAAGAAGCTTGTCAGCGTTTTCTCCTAACAAATTAGTTCTTCTGTCAGCGTATAGTTGCCCAGCAGAGCTGAATAACTGCTCACTAGGTACACTCGTTGGTGGTACCGATAGAAATTTTTTGGCTGCAGTTTTTAAAGAAATATAGGGACTTGATTCCCAATAATGAAATATGTCGGCACTTCTTAAAAGCAAAGCCTCTCGTAAATACGAATCTAGGTAATCTGCATTGGGATCGTTGTCATTATGAATTTCTTGTGTTGTATCCAGAACGGCTGTGACAAAAATATCCTGTGAATTCCAAAGACTATTGTTTTCTAGATCTACTACATGTGTAGTTGTAGATGATGATGTTGAAGCGATAGCCGTAGGAACTTTATTTGTATAACTAAACTTAGAGCTATCAGATTCACGTAACAATTTTAAAATACTTGCTTTACATGTAATTACTTCCTCGTCTGTCAAATATTTTGATTTAAAGCGAGGATCTAGAAGAGTCGCAATTGACAATTCTGGCAAATTTGTAATATTAGCGAATCTTTTAATTAATGATTCACGAAGTCGTAGCTTTAATAAACTTATCTCCTCAGAGTCCTGCTCTTTTGCAGAAACTTTACCATTTAGCATTTTTATTAGTGGGATAACTAATGATACGCAAGCAGAATTGACTGAAAGATCTAGCGTCGCTTGGTAAAAACAAGTTAAAACTGAAATTAAATTGTTGATCAATTCCCATTCTGTTGAACTGGGAACTTCAATACCACCACGTTCAGCCATATAAAAATTTATTGCAACTTTCTGTTCGAATAGCCGCTCCAACATTAGGTAAGTGCTATTCCATCTTGTTTCCACATCCTGAATTATGAAATACAATAAAATTATTATCAGAATTTTACTACGTGAGAAATATTCAAATGAAGATCTTTGAGACATCTTGGCCTATTGTTAAAATTTATATCCTACCTACTACCTGACCTGAAAGTTTGTAAAACGTTTTAGTTAAGGGTATAAAATAGGGTGTAAATATTATTCAAATTATCAAAGACTCGCCGAAGCGTATTGTTCAGAGATTATTTCATTTCTATAGTATAGTATACTGACAGAGCATTTTTCCACCTTCGGCAAAACCTTTGTTTTGGCCTTGAAGGTTTAAATATTGGCCGAAGGTAGCCGAAGCCGATTAATCTGTATATCTTATTGTTGATGTTGATGAGCAAAAATTAATCGATTCCACAGTGTAGGGTTGTAATTCGGGAACAATAGCCGGTTTGATTGAGGCCTCTTTAACCGATCTCTCACTTACATTCACATTTCGAACCTCTGCAGTTCTCCTGGTTTCTTGCAGTGGAATGGCGATTTCTTAAAAGTTCCATCGTTATAAAACTATCACCTCTTTGTGAGCTAACTCACTTTGTCGTTCTCGGAATACCTAAAGTTTCGGATACATAAACTTGACTTCTTTCATCTCGTAGCAATGCAAGAATTCGAACAACATCTACTGTAGATAATACCATATATATATACATCGGTTTAGAACGTCTTTCGACGTTGTCCGATACCTAAACACCATCTCTTCCTATCTTCGCAGTCGTTTGTTGTTAAATTTCTTTCGCTCATGGACTTGTTTACGCCGTGTTGCCATTCTAATCTGGGTCTTCCTCTTTTCCGTCGACCTATCGGTTGCCATTCTACTACTTTTTTGGGGAGTCTTGTTGCTGGCATCCGTTGAACATGCCCATACCACCTTAATTGTTTCTTCTCTATATCTTGAGTTATATTTCCTTCTATTCCCATACGTTGTTTTATTACATCATTTCTGATTCGGTCTCGTCTGGAAATACCTAAAGATCTTCTCATTGCATCCATCTCTACTGCTTCTATTCGCTTTTTGTTCTTTTCACTAATTCTCCATGTTTCAGCGCCATAAAGAAGAGTAGTTTTAATCATGGTCTCATATATATTAAATTTTCTTCCTTTCGTTATCTCTTTACTCCACAGTATACCATTGAGACATCCTAAGACTTTCTTTGCTTGAGTGATTCGTTTTTCTATTTCCCGTGTATCAGTTCCTGTATTGTCAAAGGCAACACCCAAGTAGTCATAGCTCTGACAGCAGGAAATATGTTGTCCGTTTTCGAGGTCTATGTTATCTGACTCGTTTCCAATACAAAGATATTTGGTTTTTGTTGTATTGACATTCATTCCCCAGTCGTTATATTCTTCTATCAGTTTTCTAAGCATGTACTGCATGTCTTCCCTGTCGGTCGCTAGTACTACCTGGTCATCAGCAAACTGGAGTGTATATATACATTCATTGCTAAGCTCTATACCCATCCTATGCACCTTTCTTTTCCATCTTTCCAATGCTGCTGCAACATATATCTTGAATAAGGTTGGTGAGATACAGCATCCCTGTCGCAAGCCTTTTGTAACCAGGAATTCTTCCGTTAGATATTTTCCTGTTTTTATCTGTGCCTTTGAGTCTCTATATAGTTCTTGTACAGCATTTATCAATGTGTGGTTGATGTTAGATCTTTTCAACGTTGTCCACAATTTTGTTAAGGGGATGTTGTCATATGCTTTTTGCAGGTCTACAAAAGTAATATGAGTTTCTAGATTCTTAGCCGATCTTTTTTCTATTATTTGTTTAAGACAAAATACGTTATCGGTGCACGATCTTCCTGCACGGAACCCGCTTTGTTCTTCCTCTTCAGATAACACCATATCTTAATTATTCACTTGGTCGAAATCGTTTGTCCATGGCTAAGCCCGATTTGTTAGTGATATAGAGCGAGAATATTGTTATGTTTCTTCTGTCTGTTAGCTTTGTGTTGTCAGATTTTGTAGTAGATGTATGTTCATGGAATATATTAGTTTGTGGTTTTATTATTGTTTTTTTAGATATTCTAATGACGTACAGGCACGTGACCTGGATTTTTGTATCCTTGGTTATTTCTGTTGAAGCAAGACTTCTGGTGTTTCCTGTAGCATTCGTGAGTTGACATTGTTTGTGGTCTTCTAATATAGTTTATTAGACCAAATAGAAAGGTTAGACCTTTCTATGTGTTGTGGTATAAGTAGAGGTAAAAAGGCTTGCATTGTCCATTGTGATGCTTTGTTATGCGGAGATGAAAGTAACAGCTGAAGTAGTTCTAGTACTATCGTTAAATGACCCAGTAAGAATCGAAAGTCTTATATTGTTGTGACTCTGTTTGAGTTTTGCTGAAGAATGGTGAACATGTCTTTGTGATTTGTATGAGATGTTAGATTGAATTATCATCCGTAGAATAATGAGGTTTATTTCTTAATGGTGCCCTTTTATTTCCTTTCCAAACTATGTCTTTGACCTTGTTGTCACGAGAGCAACGGCTACGGCAATGAGTTTTAGATTCGTCCACCAATTAATCTGTTAAGCTCCCAAGGAAGATAAGCATTAGTTTTCGCTTTTTGTATATACAGGGTGACAATTGGCAATAGGACGATTTTGAACTAAATGGAACACAAGAAATTTGCAACAAAATACTGTTTTATTAACATCAAAATGAATCTTATATTATACCATTTATAATCTAATTAAATATGGAAAATAATGTCATCAAGATGAGATCAGTTTTCGATCCTCTTTATGAAATCTTCCATAACACGCTCTAACATCGCTCGATCAGTAGTCAGGATTTCCTGGCGAATTGCATTCTTCAACTCGATCAATTTACGAGACTTGCTAGCATATAGACGACTCTTTAAATACCCCTATAGAAAAAAATCACAAATTGACAGGTCTGGAGACCTTGGAGGCCACGGCAAATCTCCGAAACGTGAAATGAGTTGTCTTGGGAACAGATTGCGGAGAATATTTATTGAAGCATGGGCAGTATGTGCCGTGGCACCATCCTGCTGAAACCACAGATTCCTTGGATTTATCCCTTTTCTGCGTAGTTCTGGAAACAAAAAACTTTGGATCATGTCAACGTAGCGAATAGAAATAACGGTGACGGTATGGCCAGCCTCTTCGAAAAATATGGCGCAATAATGCCAGTCGGACCAATGGCACACCACACTGTGATTCCGACTTTGTTGCTTTTTTTTTCATGACACTGCCTGTGGTTCTAAAATTCTTTATCCATTTTAAGTTGTGTTGCGAGATGGAACCGCTCCTACCAATATTAAAGTGAGTGTGAAAAATCCGCTGCGTAGTGATTCTGGATTTCGGATAAACGTATCGTATGCAAACGTGAGATGTTCTACCTTCCACTGCTCCATGTTTGCTGAAATGGCATACTACTACAGAGGTAGTAACGCCGCGCTTGTTCCACTGTCATCCCCTCAAGCTTTGTACTATGCGTTCTAAAAACATCCGGTTCCGATTGTCACCTGTATAATGTTCTTTACTTTTGTTGTCATTAAGTTTGAAATTTTTGTTACCAAGTTGAATTCGATTAGGTGTTCCTTTTGGAAGATTGTTATGATGTTTCTGTTCCTTTGTAGCACTGTCATAACTCTTTTGTTTCTTTTGAAAATATTAGTATGAGACTGAACTATTTGTGTATCGATTATGGCTTGTATGTCATGTACCCGTTTTCTTTCTTCTTTTCCAAGACTGTGTATTAACATTTTTGATTTATTTTCTTCTTTTGTCCTTTTGAGAGTTTCCTGACTTGGAATTTTTTCGCTGTGATCGATTCCGGAGGATATTCCTATGGAACTATTGGCCATCCTGTTTTTCTTCTTTTTGTGTCAATTTTATTTTCAACCAGTAGCTGGAAATTCATTGTTGTCTTTCATAGTCAACTTAATTTTTGTTTGATGTTATTTTGGTTATCTATCTAGTGGATAACCATAGCGAAGCTTGCTTAAGCTACTTTGTTGGTTACCCACATTAATTAAGCTGAAAGCACCCCTTTTTTCGCTCCAAAAACTTCTAACACTGGTCTGTTCCACCTTTTTTGGTTAGGCTAGAGCCATGTTAATAGAAATCTCCCAATGGACGACTAAATGACCTGATTAAGTCGTTTATTACATGATTTCTGCTACTAGTTTATAGTCCGGAACTTTTTATAGTCCATTTTAGCAGATTTTTTTATCAACCAGGACAGGTCATTTCATTTTATACTTTAAATTATATTTTATATATAAATGTAAAGGTGACAAAAAAATACAACAATAAACGGACATAACATATTTATTTAGCTGTACAGTTGTATCTTACAGTAATACTTGTATAAAATGCTCTTGGGAATAAAACCACAATCAATATTGTCATTAAGCTCGGTATACTTGTGCAAATCTCAATGGTATAATCTTTTTTGGAAATAATATAACAAAAATAGACAAAAATAAAACTGTTTTAACATTTTAATGAATTAAATTAAATTAATTATAAAATTAAAACTTATAGATAGTTTGACAATATTTTACAAAACACTGCCAAAAAACTATATTTGGTAAAATTTGGTAAGATATTAGTATTTGAAATATTGGCAAGTTTCTATTTTCCATATTTATGTGATATTTTTCCTATACAGGATTATCATACCACATAATTAGATGTCATTGTTCCATAAAATGTTTCTCTTTGGTTTGCAAGAAAAGACCCATCAAAGAACGAGCTAAGACAAAAAAATAAAAATGTTTTTCCTTATGTGGCATTTTCCCATATGAATTTTAAAATACTTATATTTTGCTGGGTAGGGTGGTAACTGTTTCATGTATGGCTTTAGCAACATAGTTCACGTTGTCGCTGTTCAAACCACACATACTGATTCTTCCAGAACGCAGCAAGTAGACATGGTGTTTCTTCACCAAGTGTTCTGACTGGATTTCTGAAAAAAAAATGAATACAATTAAAGTGTATGTCAATGTATAGATTAAGCGAAAATAAAACGTAGCATACACATTTAATATATTATATCTGAACTGGATTTGAAACAGTCGAGCAATAAAAAAAGTTAACACATTAAAACCATAAATTATAGCAACATTAAGTTCGACATGTAGAAGAAAATATCGTTCAACATCTCAACTGTCTCTCTCCTTTTGCGAGGTCAGCCGAAGGTAACCGAAATTTTCATTTGTCAAGCCGGGTTGTTTAACTTCGAAAGTCGCGTCAATGATGCCTAACATACTATAATTATAGTATTTGTACTGTTTGTACAGAAAAAGACGAGGAAACCACCCAGAGAAGTCCAGGATGCCGAGCGGGAAACAAATCAGAAGAAGATGGTGCAAAAGCGGGACATCAGGAAGAAAGAAGGCTAACATTTTTAAGTTTGACATATAAATATTATTAGGGCAATAAATGTTTTTATTGTTTGGGAAAGTATGTACTATTTCTTTTCATATTTTTACATTTAATATTTTTCTTTTAGTGTACTATAATGTGATCTAATTCAATGCTGTATTCTAACGACTTTGTTAAAATATATTGCTTCCTGTTATTTCGTAAAATTGTTAAACTGGCTATCTCATTTATTATGTTTTAAGTACGGAGAATTTGGCTTTCTCTTTTGTATTTTGTGTCACAAATATAGAAACTGATGTAAAGTTTCGTATTACCGTGACAATTAACTTAAATTATCGCCATTCAAAATCGCAATACAATAGAGTGATTTATTGGTATACCCTCTTGCTACCAACCGCTTCGAAGCGTGGCCATAGGGTGGTTTCTGACCTGACGATCTTAAGACACAGACACTTCACCTCTAGGCAGCGAACGAAACGCACCAGTTTTATCGGTTCTCGTGCTATATAGCCTCGACGTCCGGCGTCGTGACGCACCACGACCAACTCTACAGCCTGTTACGAATACATCAATATAACCAAAGGGTAAGTCTACATTCTTTGTACAGACAACAATAATGAGTAAGACCAGTTAATTTCGTAATTTATTCACAGTTGTATTTGCTATTTTCGCTAATTTATTAAAAAAAAATTGCATTTTTCTTCATTATTATTTAACTAATATCATTTAACCAACGCCCTCTTAAGTTTTATACAAAACATGTACAATAATAATAATTTTGTTTTATTAAGTCACGAAACTAATAATGGATGAAAGCGATTCTAAACATGGCCAGAGTTCATCAACCTCTCCAAAAACTAAAAATGCAAATCAAGAGAATCTAAAAATATCGCAAAGAATGAGAAATAACTTTTAAATGGGTTTGTGGTAATGCAGATTCCAAAACAAGGACATACTGTAAAGTTTGTTTTAGTTCACTAAAATCGGAGATTCAGGTATTAAAACTTCATATAAACAGAGCAACCAAGTGCTTTTTAACCAGGAAGACGAAAAAGACGAGGTAAGGGGAACAAACGAGAGGGAAGAGGAACTACCAACGATTCTTAAAGATACAGATGCAGTTATAAAACTAGCCAGAAACAAATCACCCGGAATAGATAATCTTATGGCTGAACAATATAAAAAAAGGTGGCCACGATACCATAATGTCATTACAGCAGCTTATAAAAGAAATATGGACACAGAAATCCCTCCCCAATGATCAGAATATTGGAATAATTTGCACCGCACACAAAAGAGCCGATAGCATTGCTACCGAAATGACTTAAAACTGATCTGCATGTAACTGCTGAACTTTTGCTCCCCATGATTCGAGAGATAACAGAAACAAACCGCATTCCAGCAGGTTGGAAAAGGGGTAACATTATTAAGCTTTCAAAAAAGGGCAACCTCGCAGTGTGCAAAATTGGAGAAGAACTTGAACCTTGCTTACCGCAATAAATAAAATCTTAACGACCATCGTACTTAAAGATTAAAAAAACAAGATTGAATTTCGAGCTGGTCAAGCAGGTTTTAGACCAGAATCCTCCTGCATAGACCACATTAATACTGTGAGGGTAATAATGGAACAATCGATTAAATTGATTTTAGAGCTAAAAAACATCCCGAATAAAATAATTTCCATTATAAACTCACTGTACACTGAGGCAAAATGCTGCGTAACACACAATGGAATTAACACAGAGCTACTTTCCTATTCCTTGGAAGGTGGCCAGCACCGTCATGATCCCTAAGAAAGGGAAAACCCTCACCAACCCTGAATCGTACAGACCAATTTCACTACTGAGCACCCTAGGTAAAGTCTACGAGAGGATCCTCAAGGAGAGACTCGTAGAATTCCTAGACGCTCACTTCCTTATTCCAAATTACCAATTCGGATTCAGGGCTGGACATTCCACACAAAATGCATTGGTTGAAGCAACAACTTTCATTTCTCAATCCATTAACGAAAGGAAGCACGTCGTAGGCATTTTCCTCGATGTCCAGAAGGCTTTCGATCAAGTCTGGCACGCAGGCTTGATCGAGAAACTCCACCTTGCTGGACTGCCAACACCTTTCGTTAAACTAATAAATTCCTATCTCTCCCATCGGACGGTTAGGATCAAAATAGGAGAACATCTCTCCACTCCATTCACTCCACAAGCGGGAGTACCCCAAGGCTCAATACTTGCTCCAATATTATACACAGTCTACAATAGCGACATCCCCCGCCCACGGCAAGGATCAGAGTCTCTTCTCCTATTCGCTGACGATACAGCCATTCTCACCTCAGGCTCTTGCAGAGAGGGAGAGCGACAGTCTGTATTCGAAAAATCGCAAGCCTACCTTGATAGAGTCGTGAGGTGGTGCAACAAATGGAGGGTCACCTTAAACCCCTCCAAAACTCAAGCTATAGTCTTCAGACCTCCTTACGGACGCGACCTCCAGGGCCGGGTGACACTTTTGGGAGAGGACCTTATTCTCAGGAACTCAGTTCTCTACTTGGGAGTTCGTTTTACGAGAACTCTCAACTGGAAGGCTGACGTCCATGAATCCCTTGATAGGATGAGAAGGAGGTTTAATCTCCTGAAAGTGCTAGCCGGAAAGCTAGGAGGAACGTCCTCTAATACATTGTTGCACACCTACAAGGCTTTTATCAGGCCGATAATCGAATACAAGGCATGCGTTTACCTTTCTCTGAAGAGCCACGAACTCAACGCCATCACTGCCACCGAGCGTAGAATTCTACGCTTCTGCATGAGAAAAGATTGGCTGTATCCATCAGCCCACATATACGCACTAACTAACATCACGCCAATTAAGGACAGAATCCTAACCCTCAGTAGGAAGTATGTCCTAAGAACCATAGCTGGCTCGAACAACCGAGCAAAACAAACACTAAAGACACCTTGTTCGCATAGAGGGCAAATACTCACCAGGCACCCTGCTAAGAAAGTTCCATTCCCTCCAGCTAAACTTCTACACAACGCTGGACCTGAACTTCCTGATGAGTATTTCGATATTCTTGAATCTTTCCCCATCTACTATCGCAGATAAACTGCGCGCCAAAAACGCTGATAAAGAGCCGTTCCTACCGTATGGCTGGTAACCCCTGAAGTACCTTACACTGCATGCTAGGCAATTCCAACTTCTTCTTGTGCGTTCTATCGATTCTTATCGATCACACAAATAACCACCTTCTTTTCCCTCTTTTCCTTAGTAGTTCTCTACTTCTTAGCTCGCGTTTCGTTCAATTGACGTTTTTCTCACACCCCCACAACTCCGTCAAAAAAAGGAGTTCCTCATCCCTTAAAGAGGCGCAAGCCTACACAAGGTTAAAACTTAAGAGTCAGACGAATTTGACATACTTACTGGAGTCAGACAGGGATGCGTACTTTCTCGTTTCTTTTTAACATAGCAGTAGACTATATTCTCTCCAAACTAGACTCCGACACAAGAGGGATACAATGGACGTTAACCACACGCCTAAGCGATCTGGAATACGCCGACGATATCTGCCTGTTAGGACAAAGGTTCCAAGATGTGGCTGATCAATTGGAAACACTTTCCACTGAAGCCAATAAAGTAGGTTTGAAAATCAATATTAGTAAAACCAAATCCATGAGAGTAAATGCAAGAAACAACACGCTATTTACTATCAACAACATGCAGATTGAAAATGTGGAAAACTTTACGTATCTTGGAAGTGTCATAACAGAAAGCGGAGGTACAGAGGACGATATTCGTATAAGGATACGAAAAGCTCAACAAGCATGCTCAACCCTGTCTAGAGATCTGGCGAGTATACTACAAGGGCAAAGATCCGCATATTACAGTCAAATGTCATGTCTGATATTTGATATTTTTCTAAAATTATTTCCGCGTAGTTTATTTATGTATTCTGTACAAACTAAAGAATAGCAGCACTTCCAAAAAACGTAAATATAAAATTAAAGCCGAAAAAAACAGATATGTACGAAATGATAACAGTGACTATGTGTACTATGGTTATGTGTTACAAGAAAGTACTATCTATCTCACACTAGCTGGTCACAAAATGAATCACTTTCGAATTCCCTCATAAAAAAAGCTATTTCAAGAGATCGCTGTTTATTCCTGCTATCTAAGTCCTACTCATCGAGCAAAGAGACAAAAGAGGGAATCTAATCCTTATGAAAAGGAGACCAAAAAAGTGGCCTCTGATGGCGGACATATCCGGAAATGCGAATGCGCCAAATTTAAATTTTCCGACACTTATTAACAGTAGCTATATAATATTTTTCAGAATGTGTCTTAGACGAGAAAGTTTTAATTAATTATTAACGATAATAGTCTAAAATGCGACACAATTGTTAAAAAACTTCAATATAAATAAGATTTCATGTGACATTTGGGACAAACAATAACATAACCCAACTAAATTTGATGTCAAACAAGGAGAGAGACTCTCTTTCCTTGTTTAATGTGGCCTCTAAAGATCGTACTTCCTGTCTAACAACATTTTTGCCCCCACTACCTTTACATTCCCTCTTTGTCTTTTTGCTCGATGGTCCTACTATAAAAATCCTGAAAGAAATGGTAATACATCAAGAACATCTAAAACTACATCGATAAAGTTGTTTCTTGTTTGAAACAAACTTTTGTAAAGGCGAGGACTGAGAGTTATCCCATATAGATTTTTCATTTCGTTCAACCTACTAAACACCCTAAATTTTCCATGTTTATGAACCTATATGGCCTATCAGGTAAACGTAGCCAAATTTGAAAATAACAAAATTGTAAGGGGTGATATGGAGTTTTTAGTTTCATCCGAAGAAATTTTAGCGACTAAATGGAAAGATACGAAAGAAATTATGTTGATGTCCAATTGTCACAGTACAACTGTTGGAATTATCAACAGAAAGCTGAAAACTGGAGAAAAAGCTGAGTTCACTTGTCCAGAAGCAATTATTTTTTACAATAATTTTATGGGAGGAGTAGATCTCGCCGATCAAACGTTAGACGAAAATCTGCGAAATGTGAGAAAAGTTTTTTATAGATTAGTTATGTACGCTATTGTAAATTCTTGGATTATTTACAAGGATTTGCATAAAAGAAGTGTACAACAAGATAATACAAAATTTTCACTTTTGAATTTTCTGGTGCCACTAGCAGAACAGCTAATTGAATTAGGAAGATCGAAATCAAATGTAAAAAGACGAATAAGTGGCCGTTCTGGAAGAATATCTAAACGACAGAAACAGATGATCAATGTTGGAGACCATTTGCCACAACAAATACCTACAAGAAAAGGTGCTTTAGATGTTCACAAAATAAATCAGAAACTCGAACTACGACTATTTGTACGTGCAATGTGCCTCTATGCAAAATTGTTTTTACACATCATTCATAAGAAGTAATGTTTTTTTGTGTAATGTACTTTTTTATTTTGATATAAGTTTGTTTCTTTACTGATGGGATTTATTTATCCCACCATTCAACACTAATGAGACATATATGTCCCATGTCCTTTCTAAGGATACAAGGACACGCAACAATGTAAAAAAATCAATCGCTTTGCTAGGTCTCTAGGTGTCAACGAATATCATTAAAGTCATTTTAAAGTCAAATACAACAGTTTTATTTAGCTACAATGACATTAGTAATGAAAGAGTTAAGATTTCCCAAAAAAATTTTTTTTGGCCCTTTTTCAGCCCTGCCTAATCCACAATTCATATTTTTTGACAAACCGCATATAATCACTAAACAAATTTATTAAAACAATTTTACGGTAGGTAAACAGCAACTAATTATTTAATCAAATTATGGTTACTTACCGTAAAATTGATTATAATCAATCTTGTCAAGTTTGACACACATAATGCGATTAAGGGCCGGTTCTACAATGCTAGTATATACTGAGAATAAAGTTATACTTGGAATAACTTCATTAATGGTGTTCTACAAACAAAGAATAAACTAGGAATAAGATAATCGGAGTATATCTGTAGAATAACTTTATCCCTCCAAAGTTTAGCAGATATACCGAGTATAAATTTATACTGCATTTCTATTGGTCGGTCAGGGGTTGTCAAATCTGTAATATTTTAACCTCACTTTGTTTGTTTTTATATATAAAATAAAATTTTTGATATTGCACAAACATTTTAGATTGTAAATCCAAAGGAAATTTTATTAGGCAATCCAAAGGAAAAAGAAACCATTTATTATTTCAATTCTAAAATTTTAGGATATGTATGTAATGTAATAACGTCTACACATATGACTAGTATACCTAGTATAGGTATAATCTTACCAAGGCAATATATTTTTTAATGTTTTGATAACAGAGACTGTAATTCTAGAATCTGTATTATATAAACATTTCTTTAACTAAAATTATTTATTTTGTAATCCAATATTTATACTTTTTTAAAATGTGGAGTATACCTATATAGATATATTTACATAATTTTGGTTATTATATTATAACACTAATCTCAGTTGATGATAACAAAAAATTTAAGAAGGAAATTTTACATCTTTTTTTATCCATTTTATATTAATTTTGAAAAGTATAATAATATAAACGTAGATAAAATACCAGATAAAGCGAATCAATTATTCAATTCCTTTCAATTGTAAACAAATTTTACAGTTATGACAAATGCCAAATGTCGCTGTCAATAACAATTTGAACTAATTTTGAAGACATCAGATCTACTATTTCGTTTTACCTTAGTGTTCTGTGGTTATACCCAGAATAACTATTCCGCTGTCGATTTCACAATGTAGAACGCTCGAAAGGTTATACTTGGAATAAACTCAAGTATAAGTTATACTCAGAATAACTATTCTCCAATTTATACCTGGAATGTAGAACCGGCCCTTAATAATCAATTTGTCACGTTCGACACAAAATAAAAAGTTTTAAATAAATTTTTCTCAAAATTAAAAAATTAAATTTTTATTTTTTGTACGCGTAACCTCATATATTAGAATAAGCTAAATAATGATGTACTTACCATTAAGACCCGTGTACGAGAACATTCCGATGTGCTTAGTTAAATGGCTCCAGTCTCCTGGAGTTCCCAACTCCTCTAATGCGTTTCTTAACAGAGTTCTCATTTCGATTATTCTTGAAGACATCGTAGTGATATTATCTTGCCTGAAAATGAAAAAAAGGAGCATAAAAACTTATTATATCGAACTGGAATAAAATAATTAGTAGATATCGTTCAGATAAATTTGAGTATTGATTGCTTTAAGAAAAAACCTCAAAACGCCAAAAATTACATCTCGGAAATCATAATGTAGCATTTTTTTATCCCTTATGTATATCATAAAAATTGCAAAGGTTTTTATTTAACACTTTAACATAGCGTTTTAGATTTTTGAAGGAGAACAAACATAATCAAATTGTTTATTTACATTGGCAAATTAAACCCAGTGTTATCCTTGTTTAAGGCCATAGACGCAAAATGTCACCTGTCAAAATGTTTAATGCGTTATAAATGTATTCATTTTTTTCGAACCCTAAGAAAACTAATAAATTTAAAAAAAAAATTTAAACGCAGAATGAAAGATTACATTATTATCGAGGGCTGAAAGTCCCTTAAAATAACCAAACAGTATATTTTGAATGGGATATTTGAAATTAAAAGTCACACTAATTTTTTTCTTTTTACCCCTGTAACTTATTAAAATCAACATTATAAAAGTTTTCAGGGACTTCCAGCCCTCGGTAATAACTTAATATTTCATTTTGCATTTAAATTTTTCAAATATGCTTATTAGATTTCTTAGGATTCGAAAAAAAATTAATACATTCAAAATACATTGAACATTTTGACAAGCAACATTTTGCGCCTATGCCGTTAATCCCACTCCCTTCTTTTCATCTCAGGGACAATTAAAATAATTTTAAAAAATTAAAGTTTGTGCTTTTATTTTTGAGATAATCATATTATAGTTTTCTTAATTTCTGGATTATCTCTTGTTATCAAGATGAAACATGTCCAGCGGTCTCATTTTAGGAGCAGAGGTGACACGCCTTTTTGCCCATTCCAGGTTTATTCTTCTTTACAGTTACAATAAAATGAATCATAAAGTGCAGAAAACGTTTCAGTTCATATATTACGTTTAAAGCGTTTTAGAAACCTAAAATGTCTCCATTTTTATACAGAATAATATTCAAATAATCTAAGAAAGTACACAATTTGTTACTTATCAAAACAGCTAAAAATATATGCTATCAAAATCGTCTGGGAAGCGTTAAAAATGTTGCAAAAGAATCTTGGTCCATCTAAAACGATCTTCGAAATAAAACTAACACAGCTCAAACAATTTTTTTCCAAATCCTGAAAATCTAACTGATCCTGCCTTCTCGATCCTTATCTTAATTTCCGTCGATTGGTCCCACTGTTCATTTAAGTTTGCACCCAGATAACAAAAGTTGGTGATTTGTGTTATAAGTTGTTGGTTAACTAGTAATTGACCAGGTGGTATCCTATTTTTGCTTATAACCATGTATTTGGTTTTTTTTATGTTAAAATCAAGCCCAAACCTGCTACTTACTTCTGCCATCCTGGAGACAAGTGTCTGCAGACCTTCAAGACTGTCTGCAAAAATGACAGTATCATCAGCGTATCTTATGTTGTTCAATCGTTCTCCTTTTATAAGTATTCCCTCGTCTATGTCCGTTAGCGCTAGGTTCATAATGTGCTCTGAATATGTATTGAACAATAATGGGGACAATATACATCCCTGTCGCACACCTCTTTTTATCTTTATGTCGTCTGTTAACTGATCCCCAACTCTAACAGCGGCGATCTCTCCTGTCTAGACCAATTGAATTTAATATTTTCATCAGTTCGTCATGTTTTATTCTATCGAACGCTCTGTACTACATGAGGTCTACCAAGCACTCAACAATAATCTTTACACTGCCACTGTTTTTTGTGACTATGCCAAAGCTTTTGATTGTGTAAATCACGATATTTTGATAAAAAAACTAAATTTCTACGGAATTCGAGGTATTTCTTTGAATTGGTTCCAATCTTACTTGGAAAATAGGAAACAACTAGTTAGAGCAAATGATACTGACTCTAGTCACAAAAGTATTGATGTGGAGTACCACAAGGTTCAGTAGTGGATCCTCTACTTTTTCTAATCTTTATAAATGACATCACTACTTAAAATCGATGGAATTTTTCTTTTTGCTGATGATACCAGTATCTCCTAGAGGAACTTTAATGTTTCGACTCTTCATGAAACTATAACTTCTAATATACTTACAATAAAAACCTGGTGAGACTCTAATTTACTGTCTTTTAACGTGGATAAGACAGTAGCATTATCCTATAAAGGAGCTCTTCAAGCCTTGCTTCTTAATAACAGACAGATCAGTACAGTTGATTCTGTAAAATTTCTTGGTATTTTTATAGACAGATCTGTTTCGAAGAAAATCAATTTAGCATCTTCCAAAATAACATATTTTTCTTTGTTCGAGTCTCATCTTCGATATGGTCTTCCTTTTTGGGTTCTAGTACAGCTGCCAATCTGATGTTATTTTTAAATTACAAAAAAGAGCAATACGGTATCTTTTTGGCTCAGTAGAATAACACATTGCAGAAGCTACTTCAAAAATCACGGGATTTTAACTCTTCCCTCTTTATATATTTTAGAAACTGTTTGCTTAATTCGTAAACACCTACATGTTTTTCCAGCAAGACCTAATCATGACTACTCCACCAGAAATTAACCTTTGATGTGTATTTACCATCCCTCCACTGAGTTAGTAAAGAATCTATATTATATTCGCAAAAAATTATACACCATCTCCTTTGCAACATAAATCTGCAACATATTTCATTAATTCCGTAAAATGACAAAAGCCTATCTATCTGAAAGACCATTATTATTCAGTAAAAGAGTTTTTTTGCAATGGATTGTGCATTTTATTATCTTTTATTTTGTGATATTGACGATTTATGTAATTTCAGTAAATTTTAAATTGTTATTGTCATTTTATAAAAATATACAATTTTCAGTGACAATCAAGCATATTCTATTCTGCTTGTTAAAGTAAAAATTGTAGACCTTCCAAAGGTGAACCAAAATAAATAAAAATTATTCTGAAAGCGACTAAAAACATATATAAACTCTTAAAGAGACTAATTGGCAGTTGAAATTTGGTTTTTAATTACAAATGAAGCAACCACTATAGTAGTATTTCAACAATACTTACCACTGCTTGGCCAAATCTGGGTTATTGAGTACATAAGATACTATCCTGGCCCCGTGACTAGGTGGGTTTGAGTACATTCCTCTAACGATGAGAGTAAGCTGCGATTTGACAGGGGCCACAAGGTCTGGTTTGCTAACCACTACTGTTAGATTTCCAACACGTTCATCTAAAATCAACAACTGTTAATAAATATTTTTTTGAGAGAGAGATAACTTACTGTAAAGGCCGAAGTTCTTGGCAAAACTCTGGGCACAGAAGAACTCGTAGCCTTCGGCGGCGAATTTTCTTACCACAGAAGCGTCTTTGACCAAGTTACCAGAGGCGAAACCTTGGTAGGCACAGTCGAAGAAGGGGAACAATTTTCTTTCTTTTAAAACAGCTGCGATTTCTGTCCATTGTTCGGGAGTGGGATCTGAACCTGGAAAATTGTAAGAAAACGATATGAAACCTGCAATTGGTATTCAAAATTAAGAAAATGATAGACTTTGATGCATCATATCAATAAAATATATCAGCAAAATAGGTGTTTAGCATGTGCTGAGATAAAGACTTTTAAATACCTTTAATCTTTTGAATTATTTGAAGCTGGTTTTTATAATTTGTTGAGTTTTAGTAAAATATGTTGTTTAAAAATTTATATTTATCTTAATTTTTTATATTATTATTTATATAAATGCTTAAGTTTATCAATGGTATCCCTAAGATTACAAAAACCAGTGGCCAAAAAAACCAATTAGAACGAAACCACTTTCACAGAAGTTAAGTGTCTACTACCAAAATCCTGGTGGCATAAGAACAAAAATTGAATGTTAAGGATCTTTAGTTTTGGCATGTACCTTTGATGATGTTATAATGGAAAAACATACAATTTGTCACACCAGTACACAAATCGACAATTCACGTTAAAAACTATCATGCTATCAGAAAGCTAAATGTGATTACTAAGCTGTTTAAAATACTTGTGAAAAAATGTGTACTGTCAAATGTATACTGATTTCAATAAAGCCTTTAATACGATAAATCATGCCACTATTATTTTTCCTATAACTATACAGTTTCCAAACCTTATAGTTACCCTAGTAATAGAAATCAGAGAGTTAAAATTAAGAACCACTTATCTAAACCCATTTCAGCTCATTCTGTGCCAAATGTGATTATCAATGAGTTATTTAATTTGATATAATGTGATTTACAGATCGCTCTATTCAGAGTAAACTATTGGTATCTTTGAATAGGATATACGCTTTGAATGCATAGTATGAATGAGTTTGAATATAAGTAAATGTTACTGCATTACATTTTCTAGATCTAGAGTTCCAATAGCTTTGCAATTCATCACTAAAGAGAGTAAATGTGATGAAGGACTTGAGAGTTTTCTTTGATTCACAGGTACCATTTAATCACAATTATAATTCAGTTATTTATACTATACAGTTTATATACAGTTTTATACAGTTATAGTAGTTGTGGATAATATGGTTATCAATGTAAACAAAGGATCAGACAGCGACAATTTTCAATCAAATTCTAACAACGAAAACAGCGATTTTGATGATATTTGAATAAAATTGGTAAGCATATTTTGCTTAAATACTTTTTAAATAGCTTATTTTTAGCTTTCTAATTAATAGCCACCCAACATCTTAGGGTAGAAGGGTTATTGATTATATATATATATATATATATATATATATATATATTATATATATATATATATATATATATATATATATATATACTATAATATATATAATTACTCAAACAACTTTGATATTAGTGCTCTGATAATACATATATTAAAAAACCATTACTGTGATTATCAAGTATTAATTATTTTACAGTTTAAAAACAAATTTCTAAAATAATCAATTAGGCAATGCCGCATAAATGATCCTCTCTATAGCTTCTCTTGTTCGCGGTTTCGCAAATTAAAAATTAATAAATAAAAATAACTGCACATCATCACATTTATAAAATGGACAGCTTGCAGTTCAGATTGTAACCCCAGTAAGTCGTAAGTAGAATACATTTAGGTTGTAGGATAAATTCCTAGTAATTTCAAATGTATAGCAAATTATAAAATAATTCCACATTATTTTTACTACTATCTCTCTACTACTAAAATGACCAAGTTATGACCTAAAGTTGAATCTTATTAAACCATAACTGATAAGCCACATATTATTATAGGCTTTGTAACTTATGTGACTAACAAATAAAAATTAAATTTTGATATAAAATAAAAATAATTATGGATCCATTCAGTAAGAAACATAACTTTTCAATTATTTATTTTTCTCTTAACAGCAAATAACTTTGTTATGTTTTATATTCAACATTGCGTCAAATTGAGATAATTTTTATCTAGTGTGCGTCCGTTAATTTCAAAATGTTGTTCTTAATAGATAATTTGTTAATAGTGTGCAAACAAGTGTTATCAATTAAAAGTGTTAAAATTATTAAAAAATAAATAAAAACATCTGAAAATGTATGAATATCTTACTGTAGATATAACATTGCAGTTAAGAAACAATAATACAATAACCTTGACTGATATTAAATTACAGAAAATAACATTGAAATATCTTTCAATGGAATCAACCAATTAAACAATCATGGAATGATAGTTTTAGTTAGTAATGATCTAAAATTTACCTGTTGGATTGTGTGCACAAGCATGTAAAATGATGACAGCACCCTCTGGAGCATTTCTCAGATCTTCTATCATACCATTGAAGTCTAAACCACGAGTTTTATTGTCCCAGTACCTGTAGCTACGTTCTTCTTCAAAGCCAGCATTCTTAAAGAGCAATTTGTGGTTTTCTGTAAAGAAACACTATTGAATTCATGTTTTCAGGCCAATATTAAGGATACAATTCCAAAAAAATATAGTTTTCTTGAATTCTTCTGCTATATCTAAATGTTTAGTGTTACTCTGAATATTTAAAATGGTATGTTAGAGAAACTGATCAAAGTTCTTACCCCAAGTAGGATCAGAATAGTAAAAGGTCTTCTTTCCTAATACTCTGGCAAGGAACTCAGCACCAACTCTAAGGGCTCCAGTACCAGATAGAGATTGGACACCAAATGACTGGAATAAAACAGTAAAACAATACAATCATAAATTAAGAACTAATAAAAAATAGCTTACCCTTCCTTCACGGATTGCAGGTGAATCTTGTCCCAGCAACATGGTAGTAGCTGCAGAACTGAAAGCCTCCAAACCCAAAATTGGCAGGTACTCTTTGTTGAGTGAGTCATCATTAGCTAGAGCTTTTTCTGCTGTTCTTACAACTGGCAGAACCCATGGTTTACCTTCACTGTTTCTGTAAGCTGAAAAAATATGAAATTTGATCAAAGCAAAAACTTTTTTTAGCATTGTTCATAATGGATTTTAATGACTAATGTTCAGCTCTGGATATTTTACTGGCCACGGAAATATGTTACTAATCTCGACAATTTAAAATTATATAACTGTGGGAGTTACATATGGATTAATGTTATCCTGAAAAATGTTAAGAAGGCTTGAACATTGATTGAGAAACCTTGATCAATATCTTCTTCATTTGGAAACATAATAGAAGTCAATAATACTGGACAAATATAAATTTTACTTGATTGGGTAGTTAGATTTTTTTATTGAACTCATTAGACAATAGATTTGCATTTAGATAAGGTTATATGTTCTAAAATATTCTATAAACCACCCTGGATACTGTGGAAGTACCTATTACATAATAAATAATATATTGTGAGACTTATCTGTAATAATAGTTTATTAAATTATTTACACAACCTGTTTAATCAAATCAAAATTAAAACCTACCTCCAACTCCAAGATTGACTTTCTTATCGAAAGTATCATCATTGTAGGCCTTAGTGAGAGCAAAAACTTCTACAGGAGGTCCTAATTCAACTTCTGAGAACCACGACATTGTTTCCGGCACTTGTATTTTGAACCTTGAAACAAAAGTGTATATACAATAGGAATTGTCAAGCGCAACTGCAGTGGGTTAATTAAAAAACGTTTGCTTTATTTAAAGAAGATAACTGATGTGATGTGACCTTTTGAGAAGGTCATCTACAAAGTGATTTTTTTGTATCCTATCAGAATCAGATGATACAGTTGTCACTGTCAGAAGTGTCAGAGAACATTGAAAACTCTTCTTTAGACACTACACACTATAGAACTAACAATACACAAAACTGTAAAATACAAACTGAATTATGTATTTAAAAAGTATTATATATAATTAAAACAGTACAAGTAATAAAACAAACTACTATTCTCCTCAAAACGAATACGCATATTTAAGCAAACGGCAAATATTGATATAATTTGAATATAAATAAGAATAGCAATATAATTACTTACACCATCATGATGATACCCTTATAGTTCTTCAGTTCTACTATAAATAATCCTACCACATTGTTCAATTCAATAAATATTGTCTTATATATGTCCTTAAAAATGGATTCAAAGGTTCAACAAACCTAATAACTCCGTAACTAAAGCCACATCCTGTTTCGGCATTTGTAAATATCGGTTTTCTATCTGTACCTATAGTTGTTGCGATAACTTATCAGTAGTTCTTCTTGATGTGTTTATGTGATTATTTTATACATGCTTTAGACATATTGGTACATAAAAACATTGGAATTTAAAAACATCTGTAGGCAGGGTTGAAAAAAATCAACTCATAGGTAGGGAAAAATGGGTTCAACTGGTCAGCATAAAATCGGTTAATATAAATTGTAGGTCTATACATCTCGTGCAAATCACTCAACTGGTGATTATCAAATTTGATTTAGAAGGTTCTTAAATTCGTTTCATTTGGCATGTTTAAGTCAAATAATATTTTATATGACGGCATTCAACTACAATTAACTCAAATGAGAATTATTTAAAAATTAAAAAATAAACTAGAGAAAAAAATAATAAGTAATAGGTATAAGCATTTACTGGCTACCTTGTTGACTTGTTTTTCACTTCCTCTGCTGTCCCTATATCTACTTATCAAGCGATACATCTATTTTTAGGTAGTTTAAATTCATGATTTGTTCTATTATTTGTTCGTTAATCATTAGTTTGCATGTAAGGGATATCTTGGCTATAATTATTGATTGGGTCTTTTCGTGGGATATGTTAACATGTTTAACTTGTGTGCTGTTAGGTATATTGAATCTATAAAGTAGGCGCTAGAGGTCATCTTCATTTTCTGCCATGATTATTGCGTCCTCCCTACAGCAAATGATACTCAAAGCTTGGATTTCCATTTTGTAGCCAATGTTGGCTTCATTTACGATTTCGATGATCTTGTCCATGATCATGTTAAAGAGATTCGAACTAATGAATGACTCGTGAGGCGTTGAAGTTCATACACTGGTAAGCGGGTATAAAGGCCTAAGGATCTACTGATTAAGGTCCAAGATTTCTCCAGGACCAAATGAAGGTTAGGTTCGATCAGCAATAAACTCCTGTTAGTTTCAAGGAAGGTGATGCAGTTTGGCTCTACCAACCAACCAGAAGGAAAGGTCGAAGTTCCAAGTTGCAGCGGAAACTGGGAGGAACCTTACAGGGTTACCAAGAAGATAAACGATCTTGTATATAGAGCCTAACTGACGGCTCGAAATAAGCCAAACGTCGTCCACCTGAAGTGACTGTGTCCTTATAAAGGTGAGAATCCAGCGATCTGGTTCATTTAAGTACTGTTCGGGGCGAACAGCCTGAAAGAAGGAGGCGACCACATCGAGCGTCATAGACGGGAGATGGTTCTTGATAACTGGTCCTCATAAGACACCTAACTCTCACTTATGGCTCCACGTACCACACCCCGGGCAACTGCATTGTCTGCAGGCTAAACTCAGTGAGGGTAGCCAATATACGAAAATTTCACGAGTGATTGCCGGTATAAGCAGTCCTCCACTTACTGACCAACGGCTTCGGGCGTAGGAGTTGGTAAGTGGTAGGGCACCTTTTTATCCTGGGGTTGAGAAATCGACCTTGAAGGCGGATGAACCAAAATTTGGCCAACGGCATAAAGGTGTAGAAGGTAAGGGAAAATCACTACATTAAAGATCCCTACGGATATCTCTGGAATAATATCTTATATGTCGGACAAAATTGAAGCAAAGGCCCTCAGTCCCGGGCAGACCTTAGATGGTCCGAGGGTGCTAAAAATCCGCCGGGTTCGACTCCAAGATGTTATTCATAAAGTAGCGAAATGGAACGTCAATAGTTTGTGCATTCTATGAAAGTTACATAACCTGCTCAAAGAAATGCGGCGTCTAGAAGTGAAAGCTATGGGAGTAAGTGAATTGAGGTGGTCTGGCTCAGGTATTTCTCACAAAGACAACTTTACAGTGTACTATTTCGGTAGCGACGCCACAGATAATTATCACAGGCATTGAGTTGCAATAGTGCTTGATAATAGAATTGCGATGTCTGTTATAGATTACATACCCGTTTGAAACAGAGTAATCATAGTGAAGTTAGCCAGTCAAACTATTAATATAAATCTAATCCAAGTTTACGCACCCACATTTGATAAACTGGAAACTGAAGTTTTAGATTTCTATAAGATATAAGGGAAGCATTAAATGTCACAAAGAAAACGATATCAACATCATAATGGGCGATTTTAATGCCAAAGTCGCTAGGGGTAAATGTGGTAATACGGTCGGTGATTTCGGTCTGGGTAACAAAAATGAGCAAGAATTTTGTAATGACCACAATTTCGTCATATCCTATACGTGGTATCAACTCTCACCAAGAAGATTGTATACATGGCGAGCACCAGGAGATCGTCCAGGTTATATGATACGAAATCAAATTGATTACATCTTGATAAACAAAGGATTCCGCAACTAATAAAAAGAGTGGCTGCTTACCCTAGTGCGGACATTTCGTCTGACCACAACCCCCTAATCACGAATGTAAGGCTTCGAATGGCAAAGGTTAAAAAGCCACCTAATCAACAATACATAAACTCTAGAGAATTAATGAGAGATGAAGAGCTTAGATCTACATACAGTAAGCGCATCAACGAGAACTTTAGAAACATACAAGGAAATTGCCTAGAGGAAACCTGTGAGAAAATAATAATAGCTATAGTCGAGGCTGACGAAGTAGTCGCAAGTAAAATAAAATGAAATCACAAAAACGAGTGGATGACGAAATAGATACTTGATCTAATGGAGCAACGCAGACAGTACAAAATACATCAGAATCAACAGGAATACAAGGAAATTCAATGTACGATAAGGGCAAGAATTAAAAACGTAAAGGAAAGCTGGATGAAAGAACGTTGTGAAGAATTGGAATCACTACAAGAAAATGGAGACAGCTTTGGACTACATAAAATGGTCAAAGAAATTTCGAGTATATACAAGAAACACCATGAGACTCGCCTGAAGAATGATCAAGGAAACCACGTTTATACCCAGGAAGAACTAGCTAAAATCTGGGCAAACTATGCTTCGTTCCTCTTTGCGGATAATAGACCGAATCTGCCAACTACTAACTTACCCACGGAAAATTTTTCCGGCCCTCCCATTATTCGCGCCGAGGTGGAGTACGCTATAAAAGTAGCAAAACTAGGCAAGGCCCCTGGACCTGATGGAATTACTACGGAAGCCATAAAACTGTTGGAAGATGATAATATCGACATGCTGGTAACAATTTTCAATGCCATATAATAACACCGGCAATATTCCAACAGATTGGCTTTACTCAACCTTTATAATGATCCCTAAATCACAAAGAGCGACAAAATGCAAAGACCACAGACTGATAAATTTAATGAGCCATTTGCTTAAGGTGTTTCTTCGCATCTTCACACAAGAATGTTCAGAAAGCTGGAAGATCTAAGCGGTGAGACACAATTTGGTTTCAAGAGCGGACTGGGTACACGTGAAGCAGCTTTCTGCTTGAATACACTTGTACAAAACTGCATGGATCAATAAAAGGATATGAATTGTATAGATGCAAAATTCACATTCTCCACGTTTCTCAACTTTCGGAAAAATGAGAAAAACTGTTTATGATTGAAGGCCATGCTATAATGCTTCAATTTTTTTTGTGTAATAACTTTGTTGTAATAGAATTTGTTTGCCTAAACTTTATAGGTATATTTAATGAAGATTGTTTTGTAAATTTAACTTAAATTTTAGACAATGTGAGTTTTGCCCCAAAATGTGGTTAACTGTGAGTTTTACACCAAAATCTCATGGATAATGTTAGTTATGATGCAAAATATTTGAACTTTACTTTATTTATATTTTAACCTTAAACTAAAAACTAGGACCAAGAAAAATAAGGTAATTTTTGTGGGTTAGAAATAAAAACATTAAATAAATTAATATATTTTAATTTTAACAAATCATTACATTTATTTTACAGTGCTATGATGTTTTACTCTTTAAAATTAATTGTTATTTGTTTGTAAATCAGAGGTGCTTTGATTATTTTAGATAGACTGTTTGGAATAACGTATTTTTAAACATTAAGGATGTTGACTTCTTCGATGTGTTCACAAACTGACTCGGGTTCTACATTGTCATCAGCTCCATCGATGACATTTTTGTAGAAGAGTAAATCCTCACTGTCCCTCCACTGGTCCCCATGCTTCTTCAACAAGTTATTGATGTCAACTTTCTTCGCTGGTTTTGTCGAGTTTAACAAAGGAATCAAGTTTCATTCATGTTCAAAAGTAGTTTTCTTTCTTTTCTTTATTCCAGTCAAAGACGTCACAGTCTTGGCCAACCTTTACTATTTTAGAATACTACTTACAAAATATCAATGTACTCATGGTTTTTAAATCACCTCTTTTTTTCTCATAAACGAAGCAATTTCATTAGATCCTTTTTTAAACTCATTTTCTCTCCAAATGTCACATCTGGAGTCAGTTTACTTTTAGAATTCTCTTTGACCAAAGTGAAGTTGTAAAGATAGATTTGCCTACTATAGTAAGTAGCTTAATCTGGTAACTTGAATAAAGGTAGGTTTTTTTGACAATTAAAACTAAAAATCAAAATTTTTGGGTCAGCGCATTTTAGTGATTCAAATAAACACTAACACTAACCTATGAACACGTTTTTCAGTCATGATTTCTTGTTTTTTGTTACCTTGCTGTGCGTGTTTTAATCATTCATCTAACTGTAGATAAGTAGAGCAAACGTCTAGTCTAGGAAATCCAAAGCCATGACGAAAATCACGTGATGCGCCCTACGCGGAGGATGAACACAACCGCGGATTTGGTCAACATTGTGAAGAGCCGTAAGCTGGAGTACTTGGGACATATAATGAGAAATCAAGGCAGATACGAGCTACTCCAATGCATTTTGCAGGGTAAAATTGAAGGAAAAAGAGCCCCAGGACGAAGAAGAATATCCTGGCTTGCTAACCTGAGAGCATGGTATAGAAAGACCTCAACACAGCTATTTCGTATAGCAACCAATAAAATCATTATAGCCAGAATGATCGCCAACGTTCGGAACGGACAGGCACCCT